TGCTGTGATAAAAAAGGCTTGTTACGTCATTAGGAAAACTCACTGCGCATGCTGAAAGCGTCCAAAGACGTCTAGCAATGAATACATTCTATCCAGATTTGAAATGAGAGAACTTTGGTTTTATTGAAAGCAGTGATTTTATAAGAATTCCTATGCATATATCTATCAATCGCCCTAATTTAACAAAGCAAATTGGCTACAATTTATACAATGTTTATAACAGTAGGAACACACTGAATCGAGTAAACCGTAGAACCAAGTTATCATAATTGTTATTTTAGTTAAACAACGCGCTTGAAATAGTTATGATCCCTGACATAAAAGGCACGAACTGATTGAAGGAAGAGACGTTACGATAGGGAGTGGAGGAACCTCTGTGTGTGGTAGCAATGACTCAAGACGCAAGCGAAGGCAAACAACACGACGCCACGAGGGAGAGAATGGACCGCTAGCGCCTAGTACCAAGTATACAGCGTTCATGAGGGCGTATGCTGTGTTGGAAGATAGAACAGTAAGACCTGAGACCATTTATTCAACTACCAAATGTGAGGGGTTATGGGCTGAAGCCACCAGATGATCTTTTGGTTAAGTGAGTCATCTCAGGGATAAGGGTAACACTCCTGATGTTTCTAAGATTCCGGGTTTTAAAGATTCCCATGAGTCCCCTGTGTAAAGGTGAGAGGTGCGTGTATGAAATAAAACAAATCCTGGTCCCCTCACGTTATCTTGTTTACAGCACTTTTGTATCATTGTTCATTACTTTGAAAATGATGTTCTTCCCTTTTACAGGAAGATTATGTAACGAGTGACTTGTTGCAACCAATCTACACAGGTAAGGAAAAACGCTGCAGTTAATGTTTAAAGGTTTCTACAACAAATTGCCACTGTTGGAAGCACGCAGGTAATATATTAGGCGAGGCATAGGAGTTGCAAAACACTCTCAGCATTATTATATATGCAGGATCATGGACACTAATAAAGGAAAGAAAGAGTCCTATATCGAGGTATCTTGACCAGCGTATTTTAGGTGCTGTCCGTGGTTCGAGTTGTTCTAGTTTCCCCCTTATGGCTATTTCCTGTTGGAATGATCAATGTTGAAGTGTGATTGAACCAACTACCAGTCTGACTCCCCTGTGTAGTCTTGAAGTTTGTTTAAAATGGACACATCAACGTGCTTTCGACTTGAGCTTCCCATATTAGCATGACGCTTAAGGCCTATTTCACATCACATAGTACGATAATACATTACTTCCATGATCTGAATATTGGCATTTTGCTGTAAAGCTCGTTTACAAGCAACGGTTAGAACAGATGCATTAAACACGTGTTAAGAATTTCAACTAAGCATTATTTATTGAAATTCTCTTCATTAAAGACTTGTCAGTTCCATAGCCTTCCTGTTCCATGGCCTTTCAGCTCACGTTATCAAAATTAGATTGCGTTATTTTGTGTGTTATTCTGGTAATTTTCTTTCTAGCAAATGCCCAAACCGACAATGCTACAGTAATCGCCGTGGTGAGTGTAGTAGGTACGGCATTCACCATCGTATTGATCGCATGTGGTGTGAGGATGTGGAGGAAAACAAGAACAGCAAAGAATAATCGGCCCAAACGGACAATTGTGGAGATGGTAAGTGTAATGCTTGGTTCATCTCTGGTCATCTGAAATAATAGATGAGTGCATAACAAGCGAGACAAGGAAATGAAAGAATTGGCCAGTAAAAGGAAATTAAAGTACATTTAACAAACGTAGTCGTTCGGCATTTTACAAAACAATTGTGTGTTCGCTATTTCTTTCAAATGAATAATGCTACCTTGCTTTTGATTTTACGGATTTCTTATGTTTTCTGTTTGATTTACTCCTCTTTGAAAACGTTGGAGACAATTACGCATGGAATACGTGAAATGCATTTTGGTTCCCTTTCTTTTATGGCACATTCTGATGCACAGGATGAAGTTGACTACGAAAAGACAGTGCCAGAAAATGGTATAGCGTCCACTGTCTACGAAGACATTGGCTTGCCATCTTGGGCGCTGAGATGGGAGATTAAGTGGAAGAACATGGTGGTTGATGACAAAGTCCTCGGTCAAGGGAACTTTGGTGAAGTGAGATCAGGAACTGTGAACATTGGTGGGAAGATGACAAAGACAGCAGTCAAAGTTCTAAAAGGTTACACAAATGTTTTGTTTTACATGATGTCAACTCCGTAAGTTTATCAGTCCTTGAATTGAACATCACGCAAATAGAGTATGGCGCAGAGGCAAAGAAGATGCAAATCGTAATGAAATCATAAAATTTAATATTTTACAAAATCATGTACTTTGAGTGGTAAAAACTAAAAGTGTGTTTCCATTTCACTTCTTTCGGTAAATTTACCTCTACCTTCCTGTAGAATTACAAAATTAAATCCAGTGGGAAAAACGCGGTAAACTAACGTCCATTTCAAGTTGTGCATTACTTGTACATGTACCTGACCAGGCAAAACAAGGTCGCACAATATTTCCTCTCAGCCACAGCAAGTTAGCAGGGGCGCTAAAAAGTCTAGTGGGAACAGTTCCCGTACAATGTAGATTGAACGCCACCACGCTAGACCTACGAAAAAGACTACCGCTACACAGAGATCGACAGCTTGCACGTGAAAATGGACGTATGGTTCCCCGTCTCCTTGCGAACACTGTGACAGTGTGCCGCGCACACACAGTGAAGCGTGCCCGGATAAAGCTATAGACACATTGTGTACGGGTACATCTTGTTCAAACGCCACGTAAAAGGTGGCAGATTTGGCCGATTTGGGGCTGGCAATGTATTCATCTTTCACAGCGAATAAATGTTCCTTTACGGTAAAAAATTTGAAGGTCTACGTGGGAATGTGCATTAGATTGACACGAAGGAATGTCAAGGGAAGTTTCTGCCTGGCCAAGGAAGAAAAAATCCAATGGAAGAAAAATCCAATGGAAAAACTGCTTTTAGTCAGCAGTACGGTGGCTGATCTCCGCCAAGAATACACTTTTTTTATTTTACGGCGTTATAACGCCCCATACGGCGTTGGAACGCCCCATTTTAGGGCGTAATAACGCCGTATTATGACGTTATAACGCCCTATTAGACCTACCGCCCAGGCTTTATATCCATGTTATTAATGAGCATCAGGACTACCTGCAGAAAAAGGGCTTTTATCACATACCTTGCAAGATTCAAACCGTCCAAGGACGGCCACAATAACTGCAAATACTATGCGCATGAGCGGAGCCTCATGTGTGTGGGTGTGTGGACGCCGTAAGGCGTTATAACGCCGTAAATTAAAAAAGTGTATTCCTGGCGGAGATCAGCCACCGTACAGCAGTGACCTTACAATAAAAGATACATGGTTTGTTCTCTACGTTTCCTTTATGATCGCAGGACAAGCATCCAAAACTGATCGTGATGACTTCATGGAAGAATTTCGTACAATGACCAGCATCGGTTACCATCCTAATGTTGTGTCGTTACTTGGGGCTTGTCAGAATGAAGGTAAGTTTGTAAACGACCTCAGTCTTGATAAATGTAAGTTTACAACTCAACACCTATACCTATCATTATTACGATTGTTTTTGTTTACAAAGATGTTCTCTACGTTGCTCTGGAGTTTCTTCCCAACGGTGATCTGCGCAGCTATCTGCGCACAGGCCGCTTGGAGTCAAGCTCAGGTGAGGGTGCCTTATCGTCTGACCAACTCATTGAGTTTGCCCTGGACGTTGCTAAGGGAATGAAGCATCTAGCTATGTCCGGGGTAAGTTACTAAGCAATTCGATTCATTTGTAATTAACTACCTGTAGTGGGAATCTGTTTGCGTGTTTGTGTTTTCTTCTGTCATTCAAAAAATCATGTTCAGCTTACATTTCTCTCTAGTGATCTTTTTCGATAGGTAATTCATCGTGACCTGGCTGCACGAAACATCTTGCTCGGAAAGGGACTGGTTGCTAAGGTTTCTGACTTTGGACTTTCAAGGGGAGAGGATATCTACGTCCAGACTTCTATGGTATGCATTTTAGATGCGTGTTGTTTCACTGGTGTTGATCTTTGTCTAACAAAGTTTGTGAGAAATGAAGTGAACCAATTTGTGAAGAAAGTAGTAAGCTCTTTGCCATGTTTTTTTTACACATTTACGTTTCAGTTTGCCTGTTAAGTTGGTAAAGGTTTACAAAAAGTAATACTTATACTTCTTGATAATTTGCAGCGCCGTGTTCCCACTCGTTGGTTGTCTATTGAGTCCTTGATGTATCGTACCTACACCACCCAGAGTGACGTGTAAGTAAAAAGTGGTGAATGAGAATACTTCATGAAAATATCAAGACAGGATAGCACAAAGATTGATAGAGATTACTCCAATCAATGCTGGGGAGCCAAGCAGCCGAGGTACCGTCAGCTCTTTTGACATACATATATCATTGAATTTTCCAAACTATGATGGTTTGGCTATAAAATCCTCTTTCCTGTGCATTCTAGTAATTCAACGCTACGTTTCACTTATTTGTGCCATGGCTGATGATAGTGTTGTTCTTCTGTCTAACATCAGGTGGTCCTTTGGAATTCTGCTTTGGGAAATAGCTTCAATTGGTGAGTCATCTAGGACATCATGTAGAAATAAATCCACAACTTATGCAGTACAATTCATGACTGCATTCACAAAGTCCGAACTGATTCGAATCGTTCAGATTGTCTCACCCTCCATTAAGGCCACAGCTGTAGCCTTAATGTGCTTTTGATGTGCTTTTAAAGAAGTTATTAGATTCTCTACAATTTAATCACGATTCGCTCATTTGGCACAGGGGGCACCCCGTATCCATCTATTGCTACCAAGTCATTGGCAGCTCAACTTATGGACGGATATCGCATGTCAAAACCACCGAACTGCAATGACGAAATGTAAGAAGATTTTATAAGATTTCAAATCGGTAGGATGGACCATTGTTGGAAACAGAAAAGTATGCTCCAACCTTTCCGATCCATACGATTCAGTGCAACGTTTTCTTTTAGTTTAAGCAAAATTTTTAAATGGTTGGTGTTATTGAGTGAATAAATATGCACACATTCCTGTTTGTATCATCATAAATTACCAAATGTGTTTTCCTAATGTTCTGTGCGTACGATGATGAACTCTGTATGAAAACCTGCGAAGTGTCATTGCCTTGACTGGTGTCCGTCGGTAAGCAACAGCGCAAAATGGCAGATGTTATTTCCTGTAACTGGTATGTTATACCTGTGGTATATCTATTGAGCTTTTATTTTCTTTTCGGTGTACAAGGTCATTGATGATTTTTGTATTTCATTTTCTTCCCAATTAGCTACTCTTTGATGCTTCGTTGCTGGGAGGAGGACCCTAGCAACAGACCCACCTTCAGCGATCTGGTCCGCATCCTCAGAGAAATGGATGACAATAAGACTGAGAACGTGAGGAATCTTTTCAAAAGAGAATGTCAATTTCACGCATTCCGTCAGTAATATAGTTCTTTGCAGCTTAGTTGTTAGCTTTGTACTAGGATCCATCTTTGCAAAATGCATTAGCTGCTTCTTCCTTTGTCTTTGCAGTATTAAAAGATTTTTAACCACTTTTTTCACCACTAACATATTGGGTTTGTTCATTTGAACTTTAGAAAGACTAAAAAACAAAGGCAGAAATATTTTCTGAGCAAAGTTTAAAGCAAATAAATAAAATGAAATTGACAAGTCAGTTGGAGACTTAATTGCGCTTCTGTCCCGTGAGCTGCATACAGTTACAAAATAATGAACTTCGAATGTACTTCTTCAATTTTATACATATGTCTGTTTGGTATTATTGACTCTAAACATTTCTATAAGTCAATCATCTGCACTTTTTAAGGAATCTGCTTTAGTTTCTAGTACTCAAGGTCGTGAAAATACTTACGACTAAATTGATGACAGATTTTAACTTTGTGATCTTGTTGCAGACATACATGGCTGTAGATCGCGCTCACTATGAGAATTTCAGTGTGATCCGACCAGAGCTTGATGACAACTGAACTGTAGGTGCGAGACTCGCCGTCAGCAGATTCACCTAAGGAATTGAGATTATAAATGCATTATGCAAATAACAGTTCACTTCTCACCGACTTCACGGTGTGTGTGTATTTCTTCAGAGCATGAGAGTGGTAAAAATGAAACAGTCTTCAAATGTTTCAGTATGAATAAGTCCCAAAACTGCGTGTTGAATATTTGTTCTTTTTGATATGAAATTGCACCGATGATTTTCCTTTTTACAGTTTGAATAAAGACTTTGTTATTGTTAAGAAGACAGACAGTACCCTTTCGAAGCCCTCAAGCTTTAAAATATTATTCAGGTAATGAGTCAATATGAATAAACTGCGATAACTGTGAAAATTAAATGTGTGAATTAAATCAGTGTCTGTGACTAAAACTACAAATGTTACACTTCTTGCACAAAGCATGTTTGGAGAAGGGATGACCAAAATATTTATGCAAACGAAGTAATTCACCCATAATTCTTAGTAATGTTGACATTCAAAATACATAGACACTTTAAATTACCTTCAAGGTAATTGTGTTTTATTCATTGTGTGTTTTGGTCGTAATAAAACATCTATCTTAATAGTATTAGAAATTATGGTAATTAAGACCAACTTTGTACTTACTCCATTTTTTAATATTTTACATTCTGACATTTCTTCCAAACACTCAGACAATTTGTGTGAAACTAAAGATAGTTAAATGTATACTTAATCTTTTACAACAAAAAGGTAACGCATACGTTTAACTAATCTTTATTTTGGTTAAGTCAAGTACGCAGATACCTGTATACGCAGTTTAGAAATTAAAGAAGCAAGGATTACCTTTATTCTTAATGTATTTAAACATTTTTAACACCACACAAAGCAATGATAATAAGAGGTGAGGTGGCCATACATTGGCTTCACCCGCTACTGCTGTTACGTACTTTCATTTCCTGAACGGTATCGTGATTATAAATTGAAAGTATTGACTTAAGGGCAGTTTGTTCATTTTTATGCATATAGACAGATACAAACGGCTGATGCTTTGTAAATAGTAAATATTATCCTTTATTAATACTTGGAATCAGACTGAAATATTTCATCTTTCCAATCCTGTGTGCCGCTTCGTCTCTGTTTTCTCAGGGTTGCTGGAATAATGTATTTGGAATGTTATTATAGTCGTGTACTTTCCATGCGGAAATAAAACTTTTTTTTTTTCAAATTTTACTTGTTATCTTAGAAGTGTTAATCGGAATAATTATGGGAATATTGGGTAAGGCAACTATTGTCTTTACTTAGGACATGTTGAAATTATAGGTAGCTGCTGAATTCTGCAATATTCATAAAATTTAAATGAGAAAATTTATCCAAGATAGTAAAAGCTCATCTCATGTAGTAGTTAAACATAACAAGGCAACAGCCTTAATGAAAAATCTCGTAGTAAACTGGTGTTTTACGCAGTATCGATTGGAAACTTAGCTAATCCTGTACCAGGGATGCACGAGTTTCATACTTGTTGGGACGATGGAGATTTTTAAAATCATTTTCATAGTGCGGTGATTACAGTGACATAACAAAGGAATGAAAGTGTGGAGGGGACCTGGTGAAGTTAATGAAAATATAGCCAATATTAAACGGAGCTGTATACCACTCCATTCGTAAATACCCTTCAATTCAAATATCACAAGAATTTCCAAAAATTGTAAACAAATTTAAAGTGACGATTACAATTGAGTTCAATAAATTTCTTCCGAAAGATAGATAGTTTGCATCATTTAGTCTACCACTATAGGAACTGGGCCCCGAGACACGGTCACAATGCTGGTTACCATTGCAATAGCTGATTTAATTTATCACGACAGAGAGAAGAAGTGTGTATAATGTCATCGGATTTGCACTAGCACTGAGAGAGTTACTCTCTCTGGCAAAAACGTTTGTGAGGATGGCAGTTTACAAAACAGGACAATGGGGGTCATTTGGATGGTAAATATTGTGCGCACATTGTCAAAAGGCAGTCAAGCGAACTGTAGTTCGAGCGCTAAAGCTGTTTTTTGTATAGATTCATGGGCCACATTTATTGCTAAATGGATTTAAAAAATTCTGTCAATCAATCAGAGTTACTCACACAGTCAAATGAATTCGGGGGTATGACCTGTCTTACAGTGGTATAACTCCCTCTTTATTATTGGCTTCAGGTAGGCAGGCATTTACGGTTATTTTTACCGTATACTTCCTTACCGTAAGCGACCAACTTAATGTAGCAAGTGGGCTAGCTATAATCGTTAAAATTCCAACTAAGAATGCACCCGAGCAGCCGTTTTCCCATGGTTAAATTTGAAATCTTGGTAGTCATAAATAGTAAGCTGTAAGACAAAATAAAACCAGATATGCATTCAAAATTTCCAGAAGTGTTCTCTTTTGTTTTCTTCCAAGATGGATTTTGTCTGTTTCCTTTACCAAGAGTTTTCAAACAATACTTGAATTAAGTGTATACCTCTTACGAAAACTTGTTCAACTTCACATAAATTTGGCTTCTGCTTTGACTGCGCTGCTGAGTGTCCTTCCATATTTTGCCGGCCAATTTGGCTAATGAGAAAAAGCTAAATTTTGCCATATAAATGGAATCGTGCGCTTCTCAATCGATTGGACAATTGATATCATTGCAACCTTCTCAAACTCTGAACCGAGTTCAGTCTAGTTGAGAGTCACTGAACTATGCAAATAGTGAATGGCTGCCAAGGTTGGTCAAAAGGTCATAATTCCAGGATTCATGACGAAGTTCGTGTTGAATATTCATCGAGAGTACATTTTGAAAATAGAACGGGTCAGTACTTTTGTTTGCATGTCTGAAAGACTGCAACCTGACTACATGTATTAGAGTTTGTGTGCACAGTTGCAACGCGGAAGCAGAAGTTCTTCCGGGTATATTTTCCCTTTGCATCGCTCGGAATTGCCATGATAGGCTTGCTGAATGCTTGAAGGTATGGACCTTCGTGCTCGTTCACAGCGTTGTATTTGTAAACAGCATGAAAAAAGTTCAAAATATTAGAGGCACCGAAAGGTGAGTGATCAGAACAGGCAAAAAAATATCTTGGATGTAGATTCTTGTCCATAAAACACTTCTTCGGATCAGTGTTGTTACGACACAATCGACTTAAGATACCTTCAAATTGATTATTGCACCCAGAGGATATACAAGAAGGAGAACATTTCCATGAAGAAGGATGTCTGACACAGACCTAAAATTCACGTCTCCCAGTTTCTTGTACACAGATTAAAGCGTTACAGATGACAACCAGTGCCATGGCATCTCTCTGGACCAACCTGAATGTGATGACGTCCGTGTGCTTGCTTTATGCATGCTATGCAAGTGGGCAGTACTGTTTGCTGAGCGGCAGTGATGACATCAGAAACTGTCCAATATTCAACTGTAACCCCCCTCCAGAGCTTCCAACTTTTCCAGATTGCTTAAGTAAAACCTTTTGCTATTCGTGTTGCAATGATGTTCGCTTCCAGCAAAAATTAAACAAGTTTTTATAAGTCGCTCTCTTAAGATAATGGTCTCATTGAAGTGAGGCTTTTAGTCTTTTTTATGATTTTTAACATGAGCAGAGTAATAAAAAATTCACGGTAATCGGTATATTTGCAAGGTATTTAAAAAGACCCGAAGGTCAGGAAGTGTGGGCGTGTAAAGAAAAGTCCTACAAGGGACAAGGGATATATTGGAGAAAATGCTGAGGGGAGTCCGTCGCTGACGTTTTCAGGGTTAAAGTTTGGCTGCAATGAATTTTTGTGGAACTCAATTTTTCTTCAGCATTATTTTCCTTCTCAATGTTTGGAAATTCTTTTACGTTCCTGTTTGGTGAAATACCATGAAAAGTGCACTTTTTAAAATAATTTAAATTATCCATGCTTTCCTGGACAACTGAAGGCGCTCTAAATGTGAAGTCATCGAGAGAAGATAAAGTTCAATCCATAGATTTTTCTTTTCAAACCGTGATCTAGAATTTACTTACTAAAACGTTTCTGAAAAAGGTATTGATGGTTTCTTACTTCTATGCATATAAACAATAATGAAATCAGCGTTGAAGAGAAAACTGGGTCCAACAAATCTACAAAAAATGCAGAATATTTTTAGTACAAACCAATGTGTCATTGAGGCTTTCTTCCTGAGATGACAACACCCTTTTTCTCATGAATATGGGAACACTCGTCAGCATAAAACCAAAACGAAACAGTGAAACAAAAAGGTGCATTTTGAAGTTTTGTATTTCAACAAATTAATTACAGCTACCTTTTTGAAGGGATACAAATGAGATGGGGAGTGCTTTGTGTTAGGAAAATCCACAATACATTCCTTCTTTGCACACTCCTGCCACCTTGTTTGTTTCAATTCCCATCAGTTATTTAGTTGATTTTTTATGATTATTAGACATTACTAAATGCCCGCCTTGCGTCAATGGTAAACCCAACCGACTGCCTGACGAAAGCTGCAATTGCACCTGTGATCCTGGTTTTAGTAATCCAAGTGGAGATGGGAAGATATGTACAGGTATCTGTCTGTAAATTCTAAACGCAACCTTCATGAAGCGTTCGTTTCTTTGATCTTCATTTTGTTCGAGTGTGCCATAAAAGCATTTCTTGACCTAATATTTACCACTAAGCATGTTTACATGCAGTTTGGACTGACTCTTTTTAAGTCTATGCATGAAAATACATAGACTTTTGTCCTGTTGCTCCGTGTCGGCAATGGACTTTCACCGAGGGTTTTACCGAATTGATGGTCAAATGTGACCATTGTCCGCACTTGGACTTTCTACACAAGGCATTTTACCGAAAAGTAACCAAGGCATGTTGTTCATATGACTGAGGTCGCTTTGTGACTGATTTTGCCAGTCTTGTATATAAAGAAAGTAGCGCTAACGTACATAAGGCTTTGGAACCAAAATGGCTGGTCATTGCGTTTGGAGCATGAGGTATTGTGTGCTAATTGTCCATGTGTGCTGACGCATAATCCACCATTTTGATTCTAACTATCGAAACACTCATGTCGCAACTCTCTCCATAAACAGCTCTGGATTTCTTTTTGACCCCTCCACAAATTATATTATCAGCTGAAGCATCCGTTTACATGATTTATTTCGCTGTGAGACAAAACCAATGTCCGCACTGGAATTTCTGTCACGGTTGTGTGAGTTAATGGAACCAAAATCGTCCACTGAAATGAATACTACTGCGTTTTTATCATCCAACTGTTTTCAATGCTCAGAGGTTATTCAGTTGATTTTTTGTGTTTGCCTTCAGACATCAATGAATGCTCAGCATCACTACCTCAACATGATTGTGTCAATGCGCAATGCATTAACACCGTTGGTAGCTTCACTTGTATGTGTAACACTGGCTTTAGTAATCCAAGTGGAGATGGAAAGACATGCATAGGTAGGACCTACGTGTACTTGTGTGTTGATTCTTATATTTTCAAATAAACTATACTAAAATGTTACTCTATCAAATGAAAAGACCAAATAGAGTACGTCTAGGCTGTTAACTATTTTTCTGTGAGATGGTTGCATTTTAAAGAAAATGTTTTAGTTGTTTGATAAAAATCTGATGTTTTTCACTTGAAAGGGATTGGAATTTTGAATTCATTTGTTTAAAATCACTTTATCTTTGTGATTTATCTAAGAAAACTACCACCGAGCATGGTTTATGGCAACACTGCAAACCCCAGTATTATCAATGGACCATGCCAACACTTTACACCGGTGTTAAAAGTTTTAGTGTTATTTCAAAACTGTTGGTATTACTTTTACCACTCTCCAGTGCACTGCAACACTTGTGGGTGTATAACGTAACAACAGTGGTGTTAAAGTAACACATTTTGGTGTGGTCATTTGATTCCACCAGAAAGTGTTGTTTTTGACAGAGTTTTTGCGGTAAAGTGAGAAGTCTGTAAAAACCATTTGGACCAACAGTGACTGAAACATTTATTCTGTGAGGTCGACCTTGTGAAATCGACGACACCATATTAATCACTGGACCTTGTGATAAGAGACGTTTCATCGACAATTTTCCTTAAGCTGTCAAATAGAACTGTTATATATATATATAAATATATTTTAGGATAGGTTTGACTGCGTGGTTTTTGCACGGCCTACACCTGAAACAACGTGGTAGGATAAGAACAGTTCAGTCATGGATGCAAGCAATCATAAGTACTCGATTACACCAGATAGTGGACAGGAGCTCACAAGCTCTGTATTTTGCTTTAAAACCTCTTTTACAACAGCTTAGCAATCGGTAGTTAGTTAGATCAGATGTTTTAAAACGTATGTTGCGCATTTTAACTGAGCATTATTTGATTGATTTTTTAATCAAGACCTTTCACTTCCACGAACTTTTGAGCTGAGTTATTTTTAATTATTCTGATAATTTTGTCTCTAGCAAATGACCAAACCAACAATACTGCAGTAATCGCCGTGGTGAGTGTAGTAGGTACGGCATTCACCATCGTATTGATCGCATGTGGTGTGAGGATGTGGAGGAAAAAAAGAACGCCAAAGAATAATCGGCCAAAACGGACAATTGTGGAGATGGTAAGTGTCATGCTTGGTTATCTTAGATAATCTTAAATTATAAAGTAGTTCATATAAAGAGCGAGACAAGGAAATGAAAGAATTAGCCCGTACAGAAAAAAATAAAGTACTTGTAAAAACCTCGTCGTTCGGCATTTTACGAAACAATGGTGTATGCCACCTATTTCATTCCAATGAATAATAATAAATTTGCTTTGATTTTAAGGATTTCGCATGTTTGCTACTCGATGTACCTGTTTGAACACGTTGAAAACAATTACGCATGGAATATGTGAAATATATTTGGTCCCCTTTCTTTTATGGCACATTCTGATGCACAGGATGAAGTTGACTACGAAGTGACAATGCCAGAAGATGTTATAGCGTTGACTGTCTACGAAGATATTGGCTTGCCATCTTGGGCGCTGAGATGGGAGATTAAGTGGAAGAACTTGGTGGTTGAGGACACAGTCCTCGGTCAAGGGAACTTTGGTGAAGTGAGATCAGGAACTGTGAACATTGACGGGAAGATTACCAAGACAGCAATCAAAGTTCTGAAAGGTATAGCATAAAAAAACTGAAGTTAAAGTCAAACATACCGTGATTCCTTGGTAATTTATATGTCAATACGTACATTACAGCACACTCATTAAGCCCAGATGTTTTGCGTGACAGACAACTCAATAGGTGTATTGTTTTTATACATGTTACCTCTTTAGGGGCGAATCCAGACATTTTCCCGAGGCTCTAACCCCTCATTTAGGCCTATGTCTGATTGTTGCTGACGGGCGAATAAATGTACTACACTATACATAGTTACTCAGGACTACAAAAAAGAAACCTTATCGATGTCATCCTTTTATCATTACTGTAATTATTTCATTCATTCGTTCTTTTTCCCTTGTCACGACGGGGGGGGGGAGTAAACCCCAACCTCCCCCTGGATGCAGATCTGCTCTTTACCTTGGTGGCCTCAATAAGAATTCCTGTCTGGGGCTTGTGTTTGTAGCTTTGTTTTTTAATAGGCTTACCTGCTATTTCTTAAACATTAAATTTCTGTAGGATTTGTGGACTGTTGTATTCTTTGTAATATATTTTTCTTATTGAATGAGTTTGATACTGTGGAAAAGAACTTTGAATAAATATGTTGCAACTCCATGGCGCAATCTCAGCACGCCCTGACATAAGCAAATTAATAAAACGTAATCAGTCGGTAGTGGGTGGAGGCTACATCCGCATCGTTGTCTATTGCAAGGTCTAGGTCTTCACTTCATTGGAAATGTGTGGAGACGCTTAGACAATAGACCTAGCCGTAGCTCAGGAAGCCCGTTTCGGACATCGCCACGGTCTTAATACGGTTGGTTTTGGTTTCTTTGCAACCATAGGACATACATCGAAAACTGATCGTGAAGACTTCATGGAGGAATTTCGTACAATGACCAACATTGGCTATCATCCCAACGTGGTGTCGTTACTTGGTGCTTGCCCGCATGAAGGTAATACAATGATCAAGAGTAGGCTTCTTTCAAGACGAATACAGAAATGAGTCATAATGTGCACGTATAGGCTTACTTTAGACGCCTTTTTTTAATGTTACATTTTATTACAGAAACAGCAGTTCTTCTACAGGTCATCTGAAAGCCCCACTTGCCACTGGAATGAAAAGCCTCTCAATTTTTAATTCCTATATTTCTATGAGTGTACTAAATCATTTCAATTTTTTTATTCACAAAGACGACCTTTACGTTGCCTTGGAGTATCTGCCCAAGGGTGATCTGCGCAGCTATCTACGACGAGATCGCTTACAGTCAGACTCGGACGAGGGAGCCCTTTCCTCTACCCAACTCATCAAGTTTGCTCTCGATATTGCTAAAGGGATGAAGCACCTAGCCATGTCAGGGGTACGTGAAAAAAAAGGTCCAAATGCTGATCAATCAGTGCTGTTGAACTATGGACCGACTGGTTTGCTTGCTGTTTGAACCATTCTGAAACAAAAGTTTTACTGCAAAGTTTTACTTTTGCAGGTCATTCATCGCGATCTGGCTGCAAGAAACATTTTGCTTGACGAGAGACTAGTTGCGAAGGTGTCTGGTTTTGGACTCTCAAGGGGACAGGACATATACGTGCAGACTTCTATGGTGTGTCTTATACCTGCGTGTTGTTCAATTGTTAATTCGTATTCTAAGTTTATGTGGTAGAGCCAACAATGAACTTAGCCAGCGTCATAAATAGAATTAACCATTATCTTATAACAATCTCCGTGCCTCGGAGCATTTGAGTAGCAAATCATTTTCAATTGTGAACTGTCATAAGATGTTCTTTCAAAGACCAGAGTCTTTCACTCAGAATAATTTTTCTTCTATTTTTTCAGCGTCGTGTTCCTACTCGTTGGCTGGCTATTGAATCGCTGATAGATCATACCTACACAACCCAGAGTGATGTGTGAGTAAATAGAGCAATACGAACAACTACTTTTGCCAAAATATAAAACAATTCCGCAATTATCAGAAATATCCTACGGCCCAGAGTCTTGATTCTTGCCTATTTGTGTATATTTCTAAATACCCTATAATTGAACTTAATTCACCACAGAGGCTTCTTGAATTGAGACTACGCAATTTTAGTAAAGAAGCCAGTAGTAAAGAGCGCCCGTCAAGAAAGCGTTCAAATTAAGGAACACTAATCATGGAATAAAACGTACATGAGTAATTTTTCAAAGAGCTACTGGGTGATACAGATCAGTCTGATGCAATGGTGCAAAGTTCGTTTTTGTCTTGGTTGATAGTACAGATAGAGGTATAGATTATTTTTTCGCTTTAGACTAAAATGAAATCCTTGAAACTTCTCTTCCTGAAGTAGAAGTTAGAAAACACGTACAATTTGGGTCTGTGCGCCTGCCGGCAATAGTGATAAGGTTCACTTTCTTGGCTCTTGTCATCTCGTTTTCTTTGTGTATATTGTTTTGTCCTTTGTGATGATGACAAATAAAAAATAATACTTTTACTTTTGTTTCTTTTGTCTGATGCTAGATGGTCCTTCGGCATTCTATTGTGGGAAATAGCTTCAATCGGTGAGCTTCAAATGTTCTCTCAGACAACCCATGCATGCTACCAATGTGTTTATTTGATTTATAGGAAGAATACTTCAATCAATCTCAGTACAGAGTTTTCTGTTTTGACCTATACCTCAATTTGCGTAAAAACATAAATTTAAATAATTGTTTTTGGCAGGGGGCACACCATACCCATCCATTGCCAGCAAATCACTGACAGATGAACTTAAGGACGGATATCGTATGAGCAAGCCACCTAACTGTGATGACAAAATGTAAGCAGATCAAATTTGATTTTCATCCTGGAACTTATGGCAACAACAGTTTGGAGCTTACGCTGTATATAATAAATTCAAACTTCATCCTCACTTGATATTACTTTTTTAAATAATTTTTAAACATCCAAAGTGATTGAATCAATCGATTTGATTACTTTTTGCTTCCTGAAACTACCATCACCATAGTAACCTCTTTTGGTGACAAAAACTCTCACTTTCCAATGAACAATGCATGTAATTCTCTAATAATGGTCGGGCCTTTTATTTGCAGTCGTTGCTTAGCAGGCAACTACTTTTTTCATCTTGTTTGTGGACTGGGAAGCAAACAGCTTGGTGTGTTCTCCATTTTGAATTGCCGCAATATGCCTTTAGTGTATCCGAATAAAAGATGGGTATCTTATCTATTCTTCCCAATTAGCTACTCTTTGATGCTTCGTTGCTGGGAGGAGCACCCTAGTCACAGACCCACCTTCAGCGATCTGGTCCGCATCCTCAGTGAAATGGATGACAATAAGACTGAGCACGTGAGGAATGTTTTAATTCATTTAAATCCACTTACTATTAATATTTCATAGCTTCATTAAGAACTAACGTCTAAGACTGTAAAATTGATAGGTCCCTAGGTCGCCAAGTCCTTAGATTTGCCACCTATTGTCAAGACTCACTGATTTCACAGTGAGTGGTGACTACACCGTCATGGATGTTAGTAAGGCGTATAAGGAATAGGTAATTTCGCATTGACTACGTACACACAGAAGAACATATTCCGCATGTTTTTTGGGTTTTTTTTTATAAAGAATACCTTTGTAAGCAATTCGCTGCGCGTTGGTCACCCGTCTTCACGTTGTTGCTGTCGTACATGTGGATGTAGAGTTTACATGCATCCAGCTACCCGAGCCACGTTCTTCAACCTGCTGCACATAAGATTTTCTATACTGGAAATTTTTTTGGCAAGGCCACGATGTAAATATCATGTTTTATTTTAGTGAAAGGGCCTCGCGAGTTAGAAACGTCGTAAAAAGGACGGCACACGGTGAGCTACGTGGTCAACAAACGTCCACGAATAACGTTTTGTCTAATTGTACCGATGTAGAAAGCTCGTGTGTGGCGGGATAAACGAGCGTGGTTCACCAAAGATACGATTCAGCAGGGTACCACTTGATTCATTTCACACTTGAGTGAGCTAATTTACAGCATGCCATTGCACAGAATAGCAAAGAACATTCCTTCCCTTAGTCAGGGACCTCTTCGATAAGTCTACAGTTAAGCCTAATTTCCAGCATGCATGTTTGTATGGGGATACCACGACTAATCCATGCAGACAGTCGGCAAAGTTGAACCTGGCTCAACTTTGCCGATCGTTCGCGGTCTGGTTTGCGTTTGTCTGCGTTGTCGGCAACAACTCCGTTTGACACGTTTCCATGTGTCCGAGTTGCAGTTTGCATCTTGATTGCGTTGCTCTCTGCGTTTCTCACGTCGATATGGAAACCAGGCTGGCCCCACGCTGGCATGACGGGCGTACAACTACAGTACGTTACTCTCGCTTAGTACCTCTCACTTTGTCCATTTTCCCCTTATTACTAACATATGCAGCCCCAATCGTCAACAAAATAGCTGACCGTTAAAAAAATTACATCAAACTAAAGTATTTAATTTGGTTTTGAGAGGCAAAATTGCCACCTAAAAAGAGATTTTTTTGGTGAACATTTTCCAAGTTTCGGACGCCATTTGTTTAAATTTTGGTGAATGACATTGCACAGCGTCTCTTCCGCGAATATCTGCGTCTTGATGTCTTGTGAACCGTTTGCGTTACAAACTATCATATAGAAACCAGGTTTCAAGCCTAAATCAATGTACTCGCCTCACCTACCATTGAAATAAGATTCAATAATTTGATTGGTACTGAAACAATATTAGTTTTCTCCGTGAACTGGTTATATCAGTTGAATTAAAGCGATTTGTCTAGGCCTATAATACGTTCTTGACGTTTGCATTGATACTTTCAAGTACACGAGGTCGTAGGATATACTGAACTTGATTGCACGATGTTTTATTCCCTTTTGTTTAGACATATTTGATCATAGATCGCTCTGGCTGCGAGAATTTCAGCGTGATCCGACCTGAGCTTGATGACAACTGAACCCTATCTGTGTCCTTGTCACAAGCAGACAAAATGACATGGGTGGAGCTCTAGACGACTGATTAGAAATGATACGATCATTTACCGACCTTGGAGCCGTTTGTTCTCTTTGAAAGTGGTAGTGATGACGAATGAGACGTTCTCAGATATAGATCAACTCGATGCCTGTTCATGACAATTATTGGCTGAAAACCTCCAAACACAGGTACGATGACCTTGCCAGTGTCTTGAGTTAAGGTCTGGGAAAATGTGTAGATATAATGGACTATACCGTGCACGTAAATTTATATTTCTTTTCAAGATTTTTTTTGCGGTAGCGATCATTGCGACGTGGGGTAATTTCTTTTGTACAAAAAAGCTAATGCATGAATTATTTGTTTTGGGTTGGATACATTTTCAATATGAAACATACATTTGATAATCACAAATGTTTAATTGCCTTTTGCTAATAAAGCAAATCGACTGTTTTTTTTAGCATGTTTGAAAATCTTGATCAGAACATTAATTATATAGCAATTCACACTTACGCACTAACAACCTGCTTGCAAAATAAAGAATAGTTTATGTAAATAGTCAATACCAAGTAAAAAAGAATGCACCTGCAGCTTTCTTGTAGTGAATTTGAAGAATCCTTATTATTTTTAAATTCCTCTGTAAAATGCTGTATTGAATTTTGCTTTTAGTTTGACTAATTTTAGCAAATGTATTTTTTTTACACAGAAGCAGTATACCAATGAATTCACAGCAAAGCGCTATTGAAACAAATTTTTAGCTACAACATTTAAGTTAATATATATCTCAAAGACCTTTAACGGCAATAAGTATAAATATTTCTTGAATATAGCATGAAGTACCTACATATGTACTTGTGCAGGGCCCTGTGGGGGATAGATTACAGGTAATAATAAATACAGCAAAAACCCTTATAGGAAAGATTTGTGTTGGTGGCATTGTATCTTATCGAGTTACTAGAGCATTTATGTATGCAACGAAGAATGCTAATTAATTGAGTGTATGGTATGAGGCAGTTGCGTGAACTTGCATCCTGACTTGAAGGAAAATATGTTTTTCAAGTACTTCGGATTACATCACTAAAGGCCCTGTCACACCTTGACGATTTAGGCAGTGCATGCCGACGTAAGGAAAATTTGGTGAATACGCTGGCGTTCGTCGAATAAGTTATGTGTAGGTTTTGTGTAAGTTAAGAGCACGCTGAGCACGCTGGTATACATCATAGTACGGCAAGGTCGTCCAAACAGCTTGTGCATGCATAAAATTGTCGACGTATGGCAGCTTATGGCTCATACGTAGGCTATAAGTTGTAGGTAAGATGTGGGATCGTTGACACATCCACACACATGATTACTCAGAAGTCAAAATACGTCGAGATTATGTCCAGCGTACCCAAAACTTATTTCTAACCTATGAGTAACGTACTTTGAACCTATAGTTGTGTAACTTATATCGAACTTATCTCCAACGCATATTGACGTAGTATGTAGACGTATTTGACGTGTTCCGGACGACCACAGAACTTTCTTACAGCTACCGTAGGTCTATATAAGTTATCTACAGGTTATCGGAACGTTATATGTAAGTTACTAATGTGTTATGTATATGTCCAACTCGTTATGAATACGCTATGTACAGTATATATGCCCCAAAATTGGTAGTTCAGCGTATACCAGCGTGTTCACCAATTTTTGTCGGTATAAGCTGGTTAAATCGTCAAGGTGTGACAGGGCCTTGACAGTCATTCACTCAGGATGCATGCATTGTATTATTTGCGTCACAGTGAAGAATCTCTTTTCTTCTGAATTTGTTTGGCATTGAAAACGAATGTCTAAAATATACTCAGAGAAATATACAAGCAAAATGATGAACGTTAAATCCCTTAATTCTGAAAATGCGTTAACAATTATTCAATTATCTCTATTAAAGTGCTCAATCAAAGTTTTGGTATAAGAAAAACCCGTTTTCAAGAGATAACTAAATTCACAACTATTTTAAGTAAATATGTGCATTCGATATTTTAAATAGGCATACAATCTAAGATATGATGTATCATTTCTTTTATACTTTACATCTATCGAAACATGGAAAAGTTCGGGTTTTCTTTCAAAATCGAAAACATTCTGCAAAGAGAAATGGTTGCTTCCTCTCAATGATAATCGTACAGATAAAACAAAATTTGGAGGACTAGGCTACATGGGTAATTGAAGTCCTCTTGGAACCTCCAACGGTAAAGGAGCAATAGAATAAACCATAATGCGACCGTAGCCTTTCGCACAATGAAAACAAAAATTAGCTTAGAAGTAATAAGCTCTGGCAAAGCTGATAAAATATGGAAGAGCCATTAAAAAGCTTCCATTGCTGACGATACCAATCATTTGATGATAATGACTTGCTTGCCAAGGCAAAATAAAGTTCAATTAATCGCCATGGTAACAACTGACTTATTTATTCAGGTCACACATCGATGGGTGGCACTAAAGTGAAATTACATCAATATATTATTGAGGGGGAAACAGCGATATTTCGTAGAAGCTACTCGTTATCAAAATGGCTGGGCGACCAACCGGATTTTTCTGGCTACTCATCATGGTTCAAATCTTACTTGGTCGCGCAGGACGCTGTCCAGCGTCTTGGAAGGCAGTCGGTCAGTCGTGTTACCGTCTGCTGGTTCATGAGGCACACACTTGGTCTGATGCCGCTGACAAATGTCGCGAACTAGGAGGCAGCCTGGCAGTTTCGAGCTCGCAGACTGAGCAGAATGGTATCTGGGGGATGGTGCAGACGGTAATCCCCTCACCATCAGATTTCTGGATCGGTTGCCAGAGGGAAGAGGCTGCTGATGGGAGATGGTTTTGCACGGAGCATAATGGGCAGATCAGTCAGTACACCAGATGGGCTAATGGCGAGCCGAACGGAAACACCCATCAGAGTGGGTACTGCGCAAGGATGATACCACCTGAAGGTGATTTGGCCGACAAACCGTGCGACTTTTCTTACCATGCCATCTGCGAAACGTCTCAGATGCCTTATCCACAGGTGCTCTGTCTGGAGGCAGATTCCAACGGTCGCTTCAAGACACCTCCCTGCGTGACTGATCCCTTCATTCAGGAATTTCCCGCCAAGAGTGCCATCATCTGTGGATCAGCGTGCTGGAATGAGCCTCGATGTCACTCCTTTAATATCCAACAAATCCTCGGCGGAGACAAGTTGTGCCAGTTGAGTGAGAATACATGCGAAGACGACGAGGCGATTGATGATGATGAAGAAAACTACTACTACTAGGGACTCCCTGAGTAAGACAGCCTGTCTTGCAGTTTTCTCAAATCTAATCATTTGGTTCATGAGGTTGCCCAAGGGTTGTAGCTGAAGTAGCTCAAGATGCTTTGTCGAACGTATTACAGTAACGGTGAACAGTGACACCAGAGGCTTTTAACCGAATTCAATTCTGAAAATTTCCGGCATGTTGGCCTGATTTTACTGACTGATTTTTAAATTGAACACACCGTCACAAAGAAATTCGTGTCAGCAAGGAAGATAAAAACTCAATTTGGGCATTGGATTGCGATGACTGATTTAACATTCAAATTGATGTGATGTATCAAATTGAGCTGTCGTAGGAACATCGATTGTTAATCATGCAGGCGTTGGAACTGTAGGTTCGTATATGTGGCAGTAGTGAGTATATGAATGTATAATTGACGTAATCTGGGACAGAAAGACGCTCGTGCCCTTTGTCTAACAGATGGCTATAAGCTGACTATTACCTTTGGACCCTGTCAGCACATACTTATGAAATTATTTTAGCAATGCTGACCTACATTTTCCATGGGACATATTTAATCTGGAGGTAAACTGTAAATTTTTTCCTGGAAATTTTCACAGTACTTTACTGGCAGCATGGGCCCTAGTAATATACTGTTAATGATTTACAGTAATTTTTTTACGGTAAATCGGAGTCATTTATTGGACAGTATTTAAACGTACAAACAACAGTAACTTATCTCAATTAACTACGTTAATTTGATGAAGACATTAGACACAGTAAATTAACGTTTTCATTGATTACATGTTCATTCTACATGTTTATTTAGGTATATGTTCTGTTGGTAAAGGATTCAACAGCTTATGACAGATATCAGCAGGCACTTTCAGCCAATTAGTTTTGTCATGGAAACGGCAAATCAAAAGCACGGAAGCATCATAAGTTATTCACAGGTTAACTATAAGAAGGAGTGTTAACAAAAAGACACTCTGCGATAACGTGTGGTCCTCCAAAGATCTGGACGCGACTTAACAACAGTTCACCGGCGTGACGTTGGGGCGACCTGATTTTGACGGATACGCAACGCTTGGCGCAAGTGTTTACATGCATAGCGGCCTTTGTGCTGAGTGTGCGTGGACTTACATCATGAACTGTGGGCGTCTTGAAACTTCAGTTCCCGCCAAAATGGCCGTTTAACCATCTTTTTAAGACAGTCATAATAACAAGGGTTGGTGGTTGAATTTGTGAGTGGTGTGACATGTTGCAGAGGGAATTCAGCCATTTTGAGAGTTCTGCTTTTTTCTAAATTAACACAAGCCATTTTATGGCATCGTGAATTGAATACGTGCAAAGGGACGATCACCTTGGACATCAAACAAACCTTATGAGTCCTTAAATAGTTGAATTCATTGGACTTCATTATTTTATGTCCGTGGGCCCTTGTCCGGTTTTTAACATATAAATTGAAAACCATTTTTTTTTCATACACTAAAAATCAAAACCAACTTGCTAAGCAGACGTTATCTTTGCTTTCTTGCTATTAGTTTTATTGCAATGAGGAACGAAATTTGCATAACAGTTACATGTATATTATTTTGTCATTGTCTTTTAATTATCGCCTTATAAAGTTATTGAAAGACTCCCTTAACTTTTCATCTGATCAATCAGATTAAAATTTTTGTTATATCTGTCTCTATTCAAATGCTGCTTATTGAAAAAAGTTCTATGTCTCAATATTATTACATCAAACATGAATGGCTTGTCTACTGTAGATAATTTGTATCATTAATTATTCGCAAAGCTACGTGGCACATGATAGCGATATGACTTAATAGAATTTTTATATTCTGAATATTTACTATCAATTAATCTAAAAGTATAATGCACTTAATGATCACAAGTTACGTAGGAACTTTACTTTGAAAATGTTTAAGCGCGTTCGTACTTCGGAGAGCATATCAACTGAATATTTAGATCCATTATTGTTGTACGTAAAGAAAAACAGACACTGTCGACGTACTTTTTAAATCTTCAGACATAAAAATGGCTGCCAAGGACATAGGCAACTTTAAACAAATATTGTGTGTTCTAACCAGATCCCTGCTAACAATAAACCAACGAAAATTCCGAAAAATCATAAAATGGAAAAGACAGACTACACTCATAGCCGAATAACAATTATAACTACTACGTCTCGTCTGGTCATAGCTTGATTAATTAGAGCAATAATACGCCTATATGTAAATGCTAATGCACTGGCTAATATACAAGCTGAAAAGGAGAGGATAGAAAGAATTGTCCCTGTCTTCAGGAATCCAATCTGAGAGTCAAGCTTTTTTTTGAAAGCTAAGTTGAAAAGTCGTATTTGTGCATTGCGCATACATTACAGAGAGAAAAGAATGAAATAAGATATATATACTAACTTGTTTAAATGATTTTCTTTACCGTGGAGAAGGGGTAAATTCTAGCATTGCATTAATTTTAGTAATTATTTTATTTGATTGATTGATCGATCGATGGATTATTTTATTGATTGATTTAATAACTAATACTTTGATTCTGTTTATTTTTATTCTGAATTGATTCCTTTTGATTGTGTTTGGTCAACTGATCGGTGGTAACTCCATGTTTTCTTTCAACAAATATTTTTAATATAAAAAATTGTAATCATCAAGTTTAATTTAGTCCTCCTGTTTGCATCACTCCATATTTATTCTTATTTCAATATATATATTTTAATCTTTTCAATCAATACTTTGTTACCTTGTTACAATGTCTGTAATATCTTATATTCGAAACTCCTTTAAATGAATTTGACTTCAGTTGGCGCAGTTTGATAAGGGGCAAAACAACTATCCAATGTTTTAATCAATAACAAACATTTCTGTGGCAAAGTCTGTCATGATGAAGGTCTGTTTCATTCAGAGGAGATTGTCATAATGCTGAAACCGTTCAAGATGTTGGTGGACAACTTCATAGCACAGAATAAACTGCTCCTGTAAAAGTATAGGCAAAAACGAAGTACTGCTTTGATACATAAAATCATCGACATCAGAAACAAAACATTGAGATTCAAATTATTAACGCTGGAGCTTCGCAGGAAATGGACCAACATGGAGGTGTTAGAAGTTTTGGTTGTCTACCAACAAACAATATCTTCATAAAGAACTTTGAAGTATTTGAAATCTGCAACGAATGTTTAGCTGTACATGTATATGGCAATGTTTCTAGGCAATTTTTCTTGCAAGATATGGCGCTAAGTTAATGAGTGATCACAAGCCAGAAGAATATCTTGGTATGGGCAGAGACACACCTGCTACGATAATTACTCACATAAACATCTGTGTGCACCACCAACATTTTTCACAGTTAAGCCTATCTATCACGTGTTTGCGCATGGCAAGGCGCGGTCTGACCTTAACATGGTAGAGTAAACTTACCAAGGATTCGATCATCTGTGGCTGGTTCATCCGTAGTCTCTTCACAGCTTGAAAAACGTCTACAACCTCTTCCTTCACCATTCTTTCTAAAACCGTCCAGACGGCGCAGAAGACGCCGCTGCGGCCGACTCCGTTTCTAAAGACAAGGACACACAATCAATGATGCAAGAGACGTTGAAGTTTTCTTTACTAGTAGTATATACCAACATCGTCATGTTCTCATTATATTCCGACGACAAATGAACGGCTTCTCTTATTTTCTCCATATTCAAAACAGAATTAAAACAATGTAACATTATTCTGTTTAGATGAAATTGTGTTGTAACTGAACAAACCATGAGAACATTGACTCAACCATTCCTTTTGGAACAGCGTATAACTCCAACAGACTAAGTACAGAGTAGATGTACAACAGGAAAGCTTCTATTTGACGCTTTCAGTGGGTAAATTGCGAAATGTTTGGAATTGGTTTGTTTGGAATTTGATGTTTTATGTCATTTAACGTTAAACAATTCAGAAAAAAGCGCAACAATGCTGGATTTAAGACGATAGATGTTTTCAATCTGTATTGATAGTGCACTTAAAACAGCAAGATTTACTGATTAAAATATGCGGCTGGCACTAAACACATGCAAGCTGGTCGGTGTCCTGCTACATAATGACACAGAAATTGATTTGAAATCAGTGAAATTGATTTTTCACAAAGAAACAGCTCGAACGAATTTGACTCGACGTTCATTACACTTTTAACTGAGATGGAAGCATTTGCAATTCAGAAATGCTCGAGAAAAAGTCACCTACATGCACTGGACTAAAATAGGCCCTGTCGACTGGCTCTCTGCCTGCCACCTGTTCACAGCATCCACAAGATCCAGAAGCAGCTGAGGAGAGTTTGGCTTGTCCTCGTTGCGTGCCCAACCATTGAGTTGGAAATGCTTCACGATCATGTTATTGCTCTGGGAAAAAGAAAACAAAAATTTAAAAAAAAAGTCCATTACTCTGACAGGTCAAAGTTATTTTCCGGCCAGACAGAATTTTATCCATATTCAGGTTCTGTGTAAGCTTTAAGGCCAATAGACTTAATCGACTATATTTCTCTGAGGAATATGTTGCGAATAGGAATATGAATAAAAATGGGCTCTTAATTGATAGAATTTTACTGAAAGAGTCGAACATGTTACCTCAGAACTGCCGATTCTTGATACCTCCAAGGTTGTTGAATTGTAAACCCTCTCTTTACGATGGTCCACCATTTCTACACAGAGAGAGCCGACGACAAGTCCACCAGAATCAGGCCAGTACTGGACAGGTTCCTGGTGGATGAATGGAGATTCAAATTCAATAGTTGTACACTGTGCGCCACCAAGAGACGACAACAGAAAAGGCAATTAATTCGCAATGCGCGGGAAAATTTAGGCTGTCATTATCCTACATTCCTCGAACAAAATCCTCATAACACGTCAGGTTTCACATTTCCATTTGGTTCAATCTGGGGTTAAAACTTATGTTTAATAAGCCAACAATACGGATAAGGATATATTTTATTTTTATTTGATACGAGCAGTGACAAATATAGGCCCAAATGATAAAGGTAGGATGGATACCAGCCGTTAAGTTGAGATGCGCAGTAGTCCTCATTAAGGCGAATGTATGGTGCTGCACATTACAAATTATTCTCTGTTGGCCAGTCACATACTAAAATGATTTTCAACAATAGAAATAAGAGAATAATATTGTTCACTGATTAAACTCGGTAGTCAATTCCAATTCTTGCACGTTTCAATGGCTAACGGTCAACTGACAGAAAAGAACATAAATAAAGTTGCAGAATGAGACAGTGTTGTAGTGGAGACCATTTAAGACATTTACATGACCAACACAAGACCTCCAGTCTGAATTCAAGCCACAAGCTATTCAAATGAACTGCTACAAATGCATTCCTTTGTCTGTTCACCCTGGTACTGGTGACTGATCTTGTGAATGGTCTTGTGCATAGTCTTGTGTCTGATCTAGACTAAACAGCCTAAGACACAGTAAAAAAAAAGTCATAACCGAAAGTTGGCCTTTACTCCGATCAGTGTTTGTAAAGAAATTCAATGGTTGATATCTGATTTATGTTCATAAACTTCAAGAAACTTCAAGAAACAACTTACATTCTTTAAAGTATGAGAACCATTCATCATGACGATGGTTGAACAGTTCCAGTCATACACAAGGCGCCAGAAGTCAACCATGGTGTCTGGTAGAGGCATTTGGGTTGTGATAAACGCATCCTTACGGTGAAAACTCTACGTTAAATATTGCAGTATAAAAGTAAAGAGCTGATTGCTATATACTTAGCCCATTCATCAGCGTTGAAAGTTGACCAAAGTCCAGCCATCGAGGTCAGACAGTTCTATTCATGAATATGGGCCGAATATACCTCATAAATGAAAACTTATTACAGTGTTGAAATTTTTCACGCAAACCTAAATATCGTGTCGCATACTTACATCGACAAAGGACGCATTGATGTAACTTGAGTTATCCTCGCCCTCGTAGGTCAAGCATGGCCGGTTACGTTCCACTATTTATTCAACAAAAAAGGCACGAAAATGGACACAAAAATTGACAGAAGCGATGACATAAGTCATTGGAGGTATTATGCCAAGTCTACTGTGGTAGCAAATCTCTCAATTCTCAACTAAACTTACAGGGAAGCACGTCAGGGAACCGATTCTTGTCAACATTTTCTGGCAGTAAGGCTGCCCCATATGCATCCTGTCCTGGTGGCGGCGTGACATGGTTCACTTTCTATAAAAAAAAAACCCAAAACAAAACCAGAGGGTAATATATGTCGTTACATACAAGGATGAAATGCAATTTATGAGCAACTTTGCCAATGTCTAAAGAAAGCAATAGAAACATAAAAAGAGATTGGGCTTATAACAACATGCACTCTGAAGATATGATCATATGAATGAAATTTTCCCTTAAATGTTTCTGTTAGTAAATAAGTATTACCTGAAACTCCTCATCAATGTAGCGCCTTCTGGTCTTTGGATTGATCTTCTTCAGTTTTGCAAATCTCTCGATAAAGTGTTTGACTGGGATTCTGGTATCTCCCCCGACATGGGCTTCCAACAGAGCCGAGTAGATGAATACGTATTGCTCCTGTTTAAACATGATTTGACAATAATACTTGACTAATAACGCCTTGGAAATACAACTACTTTAGTTCACTCCTCAGAAACCTGGTCAGTTTTCACGAATGGACTCCCAGCGACTGGAACATTAAAAAGCATGGAACAAAAATTTGTAACGAAATAATCAAGAAGGTTACAAGCTAAGTTGAGTTTTCTCAAAGTTCCCCTTCACGGTCAGTCCATGTACTCCTTTTTTCCACCACCCATGGATTGAATGACCCAAGATGCATCACGTGTAAAGGTATATCTCTTTATATAATGAGGACTTGCAGCACTTACATAGGTCTGCACCATGTTGACTCTGTTCTCTCTCATCTGGTTCACAAATCGAAACACACTCACTTCCCCTTGCTCTGCCATCATGTCAAGCAGTGTGTATATTGCAATGAAGGTTCCCGTTCGACCAACACCGGCACTGTGTTGAACAAAAAAGACCACTGACACGCCACTCCAGGGTTACTGAATAGTTTACGGAAACTTACTTTATTCTTCAAACCATTCAAACGTTGACAAAGTTGTGTAAGATGTGGAGTTTCGACTCTTTTGTCTTTATGAGAAAAGACGGGTGATGATGAGTGTGAGGCAAAGGAAGAAAGAATGGGAAATATTTCCACAGGATGGTATTATGGGCTTCGAGCTGGACCAGGGGAGGGCGTTATTTCCTCAGCAATGGAGGCTCCTTTGGTACTACAACTGCGCATCGTTGGTTCACGAACGACTAAGAAACGCAAGCGTTGCAGTCGCATTGCTACTAACAAACTGAATAACGATGAGGGGGTGCTTCAGCTTGAGACGGATAGTGAGGAGCTTCTCTAGTTAGAACGGATTTTATTAGTGTTCATCACCTATAATGTTATGTGGCAGGCATACCACAGTTTACTGACGGCCTACCTGCAGTGCACAAGTAAAGGTTTGTCAGCTTCGGCGCTGTTCCGTGCAAGCAACTGTGTTTGAGCATCCTTCACGACTTGTACCAGGTCGAGAACGGACGACGGGTACAGAGGAACGCCCATGTCTGGCCACGTGATCATGTTGAAATGCTTGATCGTATGGCTGATATCATCCCGACCAGCCTAAACGAAACAAAATCTTGGGAAATAAACTTTGAAACCACAGAGGAAAATAAAAGATGCTTTCCCGTAAAAAAATTTGCTCTACAAATGACTTTTCACATAAACTGTTTATCGAATAATGAAACGAATCTTCTCTCAGAGTCATTCATTGAAAGATAAAACACAGTTATGTGTATTTTTGGTAGATCTTACATATACATGTATGCATATTACGTCTTCTTACCTGGTAGACTTGTAGAGTGCTGATGGCATAATCTGAGAACGATTCCAATTCCAGAAGTTTCACGATGGTCTTCCCATATCTCTCCTCCTGGCCAACAGTCGTGGGCCAATACCTCTTGCATTTTTCCTGGGGACGAGTCAAGGTGAATTAAACACGACAACGTTAGCACTGTTTGCAGAACAGCGAAAGAGGACAGAGCACATTTTTTCCTCGTCACCTCCTAAAATGGTTTATTAGTAAGATAATCCATCCTACCTTCCCATTTTCCACCAGTCGCGTTGCCATGACGATGATGTTAAACTTCTCTTGCCATATGAGCCGCCAAAAATCTTTCAAAGAGGCGGTATTTGGACCTGACAAAGTAAAGACAAATAAAATCAAAGCAAAGACAAATAAAACAGATTTTAAAAAAAATTGGCAACTGAAGGTACTTTTGAAAGAATACTTGTATAATAGAAAAACACGAACTTAAGTTTAGCAAAAGTTCTAAATCCACCTCTCACCCATAGCAGCAACGAACGCGTTCTTCTTCTTATAATCCTGTCAAGAGAGAAGTTTTAATGCATTTAAACTTGTGATTAGTAAAGAATTTAAAAAATCTAACTCATTAAAAAGACATGGAACAACTGGATAAGCCAACTCTCGTCCACTCTGTTACTCTTTGATTCGTGTTTAAAGTGTCTTACCTCTGAGTTAATTACTCATAAACGGTTGAAAGGGAGAACTTTTTATCAATATATTGTTGATATTAATATCGATTATCAATACAAACAGCATACGAGTATTCTAACTTTACAAAGGAAAAGTCTGGTTTTTTTGTACTTTTTAATTTGACCAATAGGGCCTAACTAGTTTTACCTGTATGTAGCTTGCGTTGTAGTAGTGTGATAACGGTTCTCCCTCAATCGCTTCCAAGGGAACTCTAGAATCATCATCTAAAGAAGTTCAAGGAATTTCAAACAGTTTTTCAAAGGCGTGGTCATTTCTTAGCATTAGTTAAAACAGAAGAAAATGATTTGGCCGTACTCTTTGTCAGTACATCTAATTATGCCTTATTACGGAATTCAACTTACATGGTATGATATTTTTGAAGCGGTTCCGTGTCTTCACATCAGCATGGGACGCCACAGTCCAAGGTTTGGTTTGATCAGAAGGTAGGAGCTGTAAAAATGTAAGAAATTAACTAGCTGTTCATAATCAATCGAGTATTTATCGTCCTCTTTAATCATATGTAAGCATTTACTGAACAATTACCTAAATACCCCCAGAGACCAATCCTAAAGGGTTTACAGGAAAGAAAATGGTTGCAGCAAAATGTCCTGCTCATGGACATAAACTGATAGCAAACGACCAGAATGACCAGAAAGACAGCAATTAGTCCATTCAGTGGCCACTGGTCACTTTGCTCAAATGACCAACGAGTATAATCTACAGAGGCAAACATTATGTTGAGTCCTCACCGAGAATTCGTATTTGAGACTGTCCGTTGAGCTGGCTTTCTTCTTTTTGATGTAATCGTCCAGTTGGCCCACCGGGATAGGGATGCTAAGTTGTGGGCCTAGGTTCAAATTGCCATATTCACACTGATTATCAGATGAGGAAGCCTGTGTTGGTGGAGTTGGCTCTTGAACCGACGACTGTTTGTCTGATTCTGAATCCCAGGACTGTTTGTATGGTACAGGTTCCGCTGACTGATTGAGCGGTTCAGCTGCCAACGACTGTTTGCTTGGCACTGGTTGTAACCTCCCTTCAATCGGTTCAGTGCCAATGTCATCTGCTGGCTGTGTGATGCCAGTGAATAGCTGAAGCAGACCCATCGGCAGTTTGTCCTGACTTGAGGGCGGCGGTGGTTTGTGATTGGGTTTAGGGGGGATTTGGGTTTTCTTAGGTGCAGCTACATCAGAGGATGGAATCGATGACTGGTCTGGCGCCATGCCTGTCAGGAAAGGTATTAAGAGTGGACTTCATTTTTGTCTCAAAAACGTCAGTGTTATTGCAGGTATCATACTACAATTCCAATAAAAACTCACTTTTCTGACATTTTTATCCCCATTTTTTAAAACCGAATTTAAAATGCACGAGCAGAGCGTTCACTCTCAATGAAATCTTGGCAAGCAAAATACTTAAGCCAAAACAGGAGTTTAAAAATACAACTCGTTTGTCTGGCAGATTTTAACATTGGTAATACGGGCCATTCACAATAGTGAGCCTCCAAGAATTTGCAATGCGTTGGCCAATCACGATGCGAGAAATCTGTCGATCCACGTCTGCGCAATTGGAAAGGGTCGACACATTTGCGAGGTGTGATCGGCCCTCGCGGTGCAAACACCTGAAGGCGCACTACTGTGAATCGACCGTATTGCTGCCAAGAATAGTTTCAAGAACTGATCGTACACTTCGTTATTAATGAACTAAAGTGTACCACGTCAGTGCTACCTGCGTTTGCATAGATGGTAGTCTCCACATCAGTCGTTTTCTGGATTTTAATTGACTTCGGAGCATCTAATGAGACGTCATCTACCGTTTCCTGGTCTGAAAACAGTAAAAAACTATAATTGTTTATTTTAGCGAAAACATTACGTTATTAACAAAGCATATTTTCTAGAGAGGATTTAGTCTTAATTAAAGGGTGCCCAAATGGGAGATGGAGATAAAACACCTGGATAGTTGATTATGAAGAGTGATGAAATTCTTCTTTGGGTGGATGTATGGTCCTACTTTATTCAACTTTAGGGATGAGTCTCCTCACCTCAGCTGGATGCTTCACAAATGTATTTAGGTTTTGAAACTGAGGTGATCTATACTTTTTTTCTTGGTCGGCAAAAAGTGAATCCGACTGTTTTCATCCATCAATCAGAAAAAGTAAACTCAGTCAATCAATATCCTTACGTTCATTGATGGAATTGTCATATGTGATATTTTTGTAGATGGTCTCAGTTTTACTGGTTGCTTGTCTCTGGGAGTCCTTTTTACGCCTTCTGTAGACAAATAAATTTGTGTTCATAAATTTGATGTAAACGTCAGGAAAATTTTCAGGAATTTCTCAATCAAGTTCGTAGAAGGTCAATCGCTTTCTGAGTGCTAACACAGTCGTCTTTTACTTTCCGTTATCTCACAGAAATTCGATTAAAGGCCCTCTAAAATGTTCAATCCCGTTCGTATTTCACGTAAAACGTTGACGTCAATGAAATTCACCTCGCTTTCGCTCTCCTTTGAAGTATGATGTGATGAAACATTTATGGAATCCCTAGGTAGCAAAGTCCATGGTTCTACACATTCCTCTATAAAATAAGACATCTCGATCTTACCTTTGCCAAACGAGAAAAACGACAATTGCGATAAGGACTAAAAAAGCAGCAATGATGCCCCCCGCAACACTTCCGCGACTTCCACTCTGGCTTCCTGGATTACCTAAAGACAGTATCATAAAATTAAGCATATAAATAACGACAGTATTCAACACATATTACCGTTTAATTGTTATCTGGCATGATTGAGCCACCATCATTTCATTGCCATGAGTTTAATATCCAAGTACGTCAAACTAACAGACCTTACCCTTTAAGAGTTTGCTGAGCAAATGTTCAAGGTGTATTACGAGGGAAGAAAAAGGACCTCGCTTTCACCAAAAATCAAACACTCCTTATTTCAATTCTTTTTAAATTCCGATCTCTAACAATCTTCCACGTTTTGATTTTAAGATCTAAAAGGGAAGCAGTTTCAATAGTTTAGCCCTTTCTCTTTATCGTGCCAGGCATTTAAGATGGAGAACGTTTTTCATATCACCTGTGTTTACTGTTGTCGCTTGCACAGCTTGACTCCACTCACTCTCACCGACTCCGTTGACAATTTTAACCTGTTTGGGGTTTCAAAATGGCCAAAAATTCCAACGTTTTTGTTCAGAGTCATGAACGTGGATCAAAAGTGTAACAGCTGCGTTTTATTGTGACACTCAAAAGCTGGCAACACAACTATGAGTTAAAGATTTAGTTCTGTTTCTTTTGTTTCTAAAAATGAACACCGTCAGTATCCATTCAACTTCTACATTTCAACATACTTGAACCTTTGCATTATTCCCACACATGCCTGTTTTATTTTTATTTTCAAAGCTGTTTAATGGGGATTAAAATGTTAAGACATTTTCTTTCTTGAAAAGGAGTTTACCTGGATTGAGTAGTCGGTCCTGGCAGGCAGGCCACTTATTGTGTAAGTCATTTTGAAGCCCGTTTGGTTGATACGCTCAACTGTTGCCTCTGACAGGGCGCCCTCAGTGACTTGGCTGTACTGAATTAAGTAGTGACTCACGTTACCGTTAAGATTGTAGGGCGAGGTTGCTACGGATAGCACCGTGATAGAACTTGTCGTGCTCCGTGGAACGGTCACCGTTTGCGGGGGAGGGGGCGTTTCCTCTGCTGTGTACGTCATGATGACGTCACTCCAGGCACCGGTACCAACTTCGTTGACTGCACTGATGGAGAAGCCGTATTGCACATAAGGCCCAAGACCCGTTATATTGACAACTGTTACTTCGCCACCTACTATGTCCGTTTCGCTGGTGCCCGTGTCCATATTGGTGTACCTAATACGGTATTGCTTGATACCAGTCCTACAGCCATGAAAAACATCCTGAAGATCCTGTCAACAAAAACCAGAAACAGAAATAAAATTTCAAGAACACCGAATCTTAGAAATCCTTCATTTTCCTTTGTCCAACCAACCTGAAGTACTGTATCATGAGACTGTCTTTAATTACTTCCATGATCATTACAAGTAATAAGAAACAGGGAAGAGTTAAACAATCCAAAAATGAATATTATAACCGGTGAAAACACCTGTTTGTTTCTAACCTATACATGAGGCCCAAGAACATTGCGATTCGAACGCACCTGCCACGTAACAGTTATTTGCCTCTTTATCTCTTGCTGGCTAAAGACCCGGATATCATCTGGAGGTTTCAAGGGCTCTGGATAAGGAGAAATTGTAGCCATGAAACACTTGGCAATGGTCAAGCAACAGACACATAATAACATATCATTACTGACCACAAACCACCGGACAAATCCAGACTTACCAGTGCATGGGGTTTGAACAGACAGGGTAGGACTTCTGGCTCCTTCCCCGCCCACCCCTTCCCTGGTGACGGTCACGCCCAGTTCGTAGGAAGTATTGGGTGCCAGATTGTCAACTGTCGCTGACAACCTGTTACTTGAGACCTCGGTGCCCCTCTTCCACTCAGTGAATTGGCCGGTCTCTGGTCGGTAGTAGACGGTGTAGGCCGTGATGGGAGGATCGCCCGGGTCTCCGGCCTCCTGGCTCCAGGGGTCCCATTCGATGGCCACCTGGCGAGCTCTGGTCTCTGCGACTCGAGGTTTTCTCGTCAAGGCAGGCAATTCTTGTTTTAATTTGACAAAAAGCAAAGAAACCAACAATATGCCTTCTGCTATCAATGATTGACAGAATACAGATAAATTTCAATTAACACAAACGTATGGCAGGCATCCGTGCTTCCTTCAGGGAAGAAGAGGAGAAGGGAAGCAACTAATGGTGTCATTTCAAATGCTAAATCGAAAACGATCAAATGCTCTCATACGATATGAGAAGATAGGTTCAGAAAACAATCCCCCATAATGGAAAACACCTGTAACAGTTTACAGGCTTAAAATATGACCTATGCAATAATGCTAAGGTCTAGTTAAATAATAACAGTATATACCCCCTTGGAAAACAATAGTAAGGTTCATCCTAGACTACAGGTACGCCCCTCCCCCTGTCTGTAATTGTATACTGTATTATTACTTAACGGTAGGCGGGGTTCCTCAGGTCTTGTAGAACAGAATACTTTCAAACGTTGTCAGCACATATTCACTCATTTACTCATTCGGAGGTGAAGCAGTAACGACTTATGGCAAGTTCGATCAGCGACAAATTTCAACCAATGGTCGATTTTGACTGGTAATCTAAGCACGAAATATTTGTCGGGCAACAGTCTGAATCGAACAGAGTTAACAAAGTGTCACTTATCGCACTGAATCTACTTACCGTACATCTCAGCAGTAAGTGGGTAAGCCGCGTAGGGTTCTGTTATCTGACAAATGAACTCCTCACCCAACTCTACCGCCGGAAACTCGAACGCAAGGACAAGCTCCAAACCAATCAGGCTTCTGGTATTTGACAGGTAGTGCACACCGTTGGAATACCTGTAGACCTTGACAGCGGTCACTGCAGGCAATGGGCTTCCTGTGACGACACACGTGAACGTAGAGGGCTGTCCGCTATTCGCTTGAGTATTATTAAAACTCAACACACCTACAGGAAAAGAATATTTAAAGGATTTAAGCATCGCCCCTATACCTCAGACAATACTGCACACAATCATCGTAGACAGAAAGATCTCACAAGTTTGCTTGCATTGTTGAAGGTTGGGCCCAAGACACCTAAAATCATGAAATGTAGGTATGAAGTTGGAATTGCGGCCGTATCCAGCGGCTAGGTCTATTGTCTGCGCGTCTGCACATATTTTCAATAGAGTGAAGACTTAGACGTTCGAATGCAGCCCACCATAATTACTCAGATGTGACGTGGCTGACACGAATGCACTCACTTCACACATTTTTAATCTTCTGCAAAACATTTCTTCCATCATTTCATGGAATCATGCTTAACTTACTATCACGTCCCTTCCATTATAATAAAAGCCCAGCCAACAATGGAATTATTGGTAAGAAAATTATGTCCAAATATTGTCCCCCAAATACAGCTCCTTGAAAAGATCAGGCATAGCCCATTTAACTGAAAAAGTGTCATCAGTTACAGAAAAGAAAACTAGAACAACACAAGGATGGAGTCTTCTTGTTTATTCAAGAGATAAGGCATATCCTGTTTGAACATTAGACGACCTAGTTATGATCAAATGCATTGGCTCAGACACGTCAAACGATCACTGTAAGTAAATAAATGTGACCCCTGACCTATGGTACAGTCTGGCTCGGCCCAGTTGTTTTTGCAACCTCCATCACAGACTCCGGTCGACTTGACGCAGTTGCGCTCGTTACAGTGGCAAATGCCGATACAATTCAGACCGAATGTGCCATCTCGACACTCTAAAAGGAAATAAAAAGTTAAATAGAAGCTCCTATTTTTAATTAAAAGCCTTGAAAATTTGGGTAACCCTGACAGTTTTTGTTTAAATCACTGTCTTTCGTCTAAGAACCAATGCACATGGAATAAACAAGCAAATAGAATAAACAAGCAAGAAATAACAGTGGAATGTCTGAAGTTATACACTTTTTCCCACATACATGTTTTCCAGTTTTTCCCACAGTAACCACCAACTTAACGCTGCCCAGACTTTTGGTTTTATTCTAGCTAGCTTTGGACAAACACAGACGCGTTAGATTTCCCTAAATCTCGAAACCGAATGACTCTGATTTGCAACTTTCCGGTTTTTTCTTTCATTTTCGCAATATCATCCGAAGATTTTCCCTGCAAACCACACTCACTATTGCGATTAGGTACAGTGAGAATTAAATAAGCCACTCATTCAAACATTGAAGGGAACTGACTCGATGCGATGACAATGATAAACTGGTTCCAAAAGAAACAGGCGTAAACACAATTAAATACTTTTTAAACTAAAAGATGTCTGAATAATTGGTATGAAAATTTGAGCAACTTAAGATAATGCTTACTTGGAAATGCTCCTGACTCAAAATGTGAAATAAAAAGAGTCACTCACAATTCACCGTTAAGAATTGAACGGAGTAGCCCTTAATAAGATATTCATTTTTGATTTCGACCTAAACATAGAGTGTCTTTTAAGTAATGGTATATTCTGAAATCCACCAAGAAAGTGTTGTAGATTACGTTGTCACTGTTCCCTAATGATGGCATTGCCCAAGGATACACTTGCATGGCTCACACTTGGATACACTTGTGGTTGAACCTTTCTGACCCCATATCCTCTCATTTAATGTTTTACTCCGATATTTCATGGTTTGCGGTTGACTAGGGATTTCCTTTTTGGTAGGAAGTAAACGCTGGAATTTGGATAGCATTTCTCGCTGCTTAAAAAATCTGCTTAGAAATCGAATGTTGGCTGCCATTTTAATCACAAAACACGTTTTACATTCTGCTTGCATGACAGTCATCTTGGGTTTATCTGATGGCTGATTCAGGGTGACTTATACTGTCCTTGAATTACCCATTAACACATTATGATACTGATCAAGATCATTGTGATACGACTATATACAATTTCTAGACGTTGGTGTGAAAATGGGTTGTTATTCAGCAAGGCAGTGATATTGAGCTGTGAAGTGTGCTCTTGTATCAGCCTTCTTTACGCCGAAATGTATGCCTCGGAGCACTATTGCTTTTAAAGACAGAGTCCGACCACTGACCTTGGCAGTTCAGGGCTTCTGGATAGACAACGAAGCCAGGCTTGCATTCACTGGGACATTGCCCTGTCTGTTTATTACACGGTCTGTTCTCTAAACACTGACACTTGGATGTACAGTTGACGTCATAGAAGTCATCAGGACAAGCATCTGGAACTGAACAGTTAATATGGAATATCCATATTAAATAGCAGAGTCATCAATGCTTCGATCAGGTGTGAAACGCAGAGAGTGTATGCATTGACAATGATAAACAAATAATGATCAATGATTCATCTTGACACAGTCCATCAGTAACACGAAATTCGCAGGACAATCAAACAGGCCATATATCGAAGTATACTACTCGAAAAAGTTACGGACCACTTTTTTCTTAACTTGTAATTTTGTTCTAGGCAATGAGGTCTAGTTCTTTCATTTTTTTGTCTATAGATGGTGAATGCAACATCTGAAACCAACCACATGTGAAATTGATTAGAGTGTGTTTGAGGTCATTCAGGACAGTTATTGTCAGCAATAAAATATCTCACATAAAAAAGTATACACAAAATAAAAAGGGGTCCTTAACTTTTTGGGGGAGTGTATTTTTGCAACGGCTTATTTATGTTAAAGAAAAGTAAACTCTGACAAACACATGAGTACTATGGAATGTCTTTGACATTGCGAAAGGAGGGGTTGTTATATTTTTTGGTGAATATGATATTCAGTGACAGCGCTTGTCGAATTTGCACTTACTTTGACATGAAAGACCAGTCCAACCTTGGGCGCACCCCCCGCTACACTCGCCGGTGAAACGGTTGCAAGTCGAACCTTGGCGACAGTGACATGTTTGGAGGCAACTTGCCCCGAATTTACCAAAAGGACACACTGAAAATACAAATTGGTACAAAAGCTTTCACTGGTTGATTTTAGGATCATATTCTTTGTCTTCCATGGCATAAGGTTGTCACAATCAATGTACGTATTTTGGCTAGTTACCTGTCACACAGTCGTAGTTTTTGTACCCGGCATAACACGTGCATCCCATGGGATCAGGAAGACAAAACACTCGATTTCTGCAGTCACCATTGGAGCATTGTATCTCACAGCTAAACCCAAATCTGTTGTTACCACAAGCTGAAAACATGTGTGACCATAATGAGTTTTGCTACAGAGCAAGTTGAAAATTGTGGAGGTGACGACGACAAGAGAAAGAACACGAAGAAAAAGAACGACAAGGAAAATCCATGATACCAACGACATGAACGATCTACGATAAAACACCACAAGTCACTGCCATAGAGTTTGTCTTTCGTATCATTTGCTCTTGTTACTGGTTGCAAGTGGTATTTTTCTCATTATTTAACCAAACTTCGGCAACAGAGGTGACAATGAGAGGTCACTTTCAATACTGCAACCGTAGGACTTTTGCTCTGATGTTCTCTGGAAAATAGGAAAAATCCAACGCATGTGAAGGTTTTAGTAATCTCACTGATGCCACTGTTACACAATTTCCCCTTTGGAAAAATTTTGCCTATATGTTCTTACCGTGCAAGCAATTCCTTCCACTGAAACCAGCCGGGCAAACACAACGTCCATTCAAGTCATTACATACCCCACCATGGTAACAGTTATCACAAACCCCCAGACATTCAGGTGGACCCCACCGACCGGCCGGACAACCTGCGCCGACAAAGAATGGTAGAGGTAAAACAGAGATACAATAAGAATGAAGATTGCGCAATACTCCACCTATTTTCAGCGCAATTATTTACCCAATGTGTGAATTATGGGAAACTGATATTCCACACGAAATCGGATCTTCAAGATTACCTATATTGACAGGTGTATGTGGGCTTTTTGGTGTCCTTTCCTGTTTCTGATCCTTGCTATTTTTGGTGCTTTTCTTGGACATTATAATGAAGAGCAGCTCTGAAATCACAGGTAGATAACGCGTCTTCGCCCAACGATAGAGCATAGCGCTCTCTCCCTCAAAAATCCAGCAACCATGAATGTCACACCTTTTGCTTACAGTCTGCAAAAAATGGGTTCACGCAGACGAGTTTTACCCCCGCAGTGAAGTATGGTATCGTCAGGACCTGGGTTTTCATTAAGCACGAAGAGTTATCTAGTCCCACATTAAAGCAGTCACGTCGTCAAGCTGCATAACTTCTATTTGTTCACAAAAATAACTGTTTAACATCACTTTCATACTTAACAGAAATACTTTCAATGTGAAGCGGAATATATATATTCATCACACTTACGTCTGACTATTAGTCGAACAAGTCCATGCCTTGCTGAGTACCGCTCATGAAGATAATGGCATTCATACACGCCTGCATCGTTAATTGTAACTGCTCTAGTAATGGTATAGCTTGAAGATCCTCTCCGTAAGATATCAGAGTTATTGAACCGCCAAGCAAACTCATTTAGAGATGACACGATCCCTGTCATCTCGATGACAACGTCATCATCCCCTTTATTGACGGTCTTTGTATACAACCCATCTGCAGGAACAATTTTTGCTATTAAAGAAGAAATAAAATCACAGCAAAATGAACAAGTATCTAGATTGGAAGGGTGTATATTTGACATCTAGTGGGGTTAAAATGTATCCCATTCTGTCTGGCCCTGAGTCTTCACATTTTACATTCAAAGTTACAAGATTCACACCACAGAAAATGATTTACAGATCAAGACTTCAACAACATTTTAGTCTATAAAATAAGAGTAACATATAAAAAGATGAAGCTCTCATATTGACTGCCACTTGTGGACATATTTGGAGCACTTTCATCACATCACACAAGAATATGACATGTTCTTTAGGAGGAGTTAGAAATGGAAAACAAAATGAGCAAATGCAAATAATAGAAAATATGACTCGTTTAGCTTAAGAATGGGAAAGCTGGATCAGCTTTTGTATTCGGCAAAAATTTCGAATTTTATACCCACATCCTCCATAGCCTGACACAGGATGCCAAACGGCTCGTTCAGATTTTATGACCTCCTGTGATTAACCTGCGCGCGATGGTATTTCGATCAATCGGCCTCCTACGGCAGAAAACATTTGCTAAATTTTCAGACGCACTTTCATGTGCGGCCTTAGGTCTCTTCCTATTTTATTTTAATTAAAAACAAATCTTTCGTGTATTTACTTACTATCACCGAGAAGGACAGTGGCAGTTACAGTCGTAAGCAGTCTGCCAGATTTACTCGCTTGACAAAAGTAAATTCCGAAATAATTTTGATAAGCATACGAGAGGTCTATTCGAAATGACATCGTTTGTCTATTCCATGTTGATGCTGTCGGACGTCTGTTATGTTGGTTCATGGTATCTTGTTCTGACATAACGACCGTAGTCACACTTGGCATCTGTATCTTGTGAACTTAGATAGCAGGAATACGAGCTGCCACCCACTGGCCGCTGAACTACAGTCATCTCCACAGGTACTGCATCACCTGTAATGAAATCACATCAACAATACTGCATCGGATTTGAAGGTGCTTAATCATGACACTCAAAAGCCGCTTCAATACTCTTCTTACATGTTCTCGTGCATGTGATGAACTTAATTCGGTGTTCCACTGTAAAGAAAACTGTGGTGTTTCAAAACCTTGCCGCATGCTGTATCCATGTTACCTGCTCTACGATAAAGATACAACGTGGTACAGTGCTGAGTGATGGGGTTATCAGCGTGGTATTTTTTATCGTGCTGTTTTCCTGTTTTGCAAAGGCAATTCATATAAAAGAGAATCCTTAACTGAGTTTTTTAAATTAAGCATAGCATTTCATTTCAAGTATCAACACCCGGAGAGACATCTCGGCAGTACATGTACTTCATTTATTAAAAATTCAGCTTTTAAAGTTGACGATATAAATGCTATTACATTACTTAGCTTTGCCACTGACACAGTTCACGAAAGGTTGTTTCCAAGATGGGTCGTGCCTCCGTCAACCTTTTTTTTATAATTAATGTCTAGACGTTAAGCAAGATATCACACGCACATACCTCTTTTACATCGTCTAATATTTCTATCAGCTGTCAAAGTTTGAAGGAAAGCGCCGTAAGTTGGTGTCTTCCCACAAAATATATTTGCCCCATTGCACTGAGAAGGGTCTTGTATAATATTCAGAGTATAGGTTTGTTTTTAATCTTAAGTGTTTTGATAGCTCCTTGAGATTTGTAAATATAGCTGGTGAATATTCCTCTGCTCTGCATACCGACGACTGGACATAGCGTAACAGCTACTGGTAGGAAAAAATTCATCTGTGAAGTCGAGGGAGACAGGTCAATACAATAACAAAGTTTGGCAGGAACAGAGAAGTGTATGCCGTTTGGAGCGGTCGAATGAAAATGCCCGGGATGGATTTGTCATTTTCTGCTCAAAAGATTTACACACAAAAACCCCTGGTGAGCGGTGACCAAAGGGTCCCGATTATGATAAGTCGTAATACTCACATGAGCAGGGCTCATGTACAATGCTCATTCAATCCAGAGAACCTTGAATTGATTTACCTTTAACAACTGACATCCGAAACAACGACAGCGTAACGCAAAGGAGCAGCATCATCGACAATGGTGTTATCTCCAAAGTTTTGTACCAAACAACTCTTGTAGAGTGCTCCATTTTGCTAAGGATTATTGCAAAGCCAGCAAGTGTCGTTGGACTGGTTCATTCTGTTTGTGCCACAATGCAACGACGCAGCTGGACAATGTAGGATATACAAGGAAGTCCATGACGTATGCGATATTTATGTGACAAAGCAAGGCCCATATAGAAAACACGTCGAGTGAAATCCATGCTGAACACCAGTTGTACTTTTCCATACGTTTGTTGATGTAATTAAAGCCTTAAAGTTGGAAAATCCAAGGCCACTTCCAGCTTTCTCTTTCACAATTTTATGACCATTTACTACAGTTGCTTCCTGTTCAAGCAACGGAGGCTATAACAACAACTAAATAGAAACATGTCATTGACTAGGGGACATAGGGGACTACGTAGGGGACTGCTCTCTGATAATATGTTGAGGTGCAAGGCAAGGGCAGAGGAGCAATGGTGAGGGTGGTTGGGTTCTCAGTTCAACATCTTCTTCAATCAAACCAGCGACCACACCCTCACTTCAACGGTTAGCCAACTGTGACTGTGAATGTGGCAGCTGTCACTGCTTTTGTTGTTCGGTCATTTAACCGGGTTGTAAAACTACCATGCCCCCTCAAAAAAAAACTTTCGATGTACACTGACTCCCTCAAAATACAGGGTAGGGGCAAAAGGTTTACAATGTCCTCCTGTCAACAAACCTCACTTTACGACATACTGATTCCATTTCCTGAAAACTCGCGCCCTCTCTTGGCCGATGCTATGAATGGAAAGTGCTCCTCGGGGCCGAGTTGGGGCGGCTTGTTCCCGTATGTTCACGAACAGCTCGATTTGTTGTTCGTGGGTCGGCAGCTCTAACGCCGGGAACAAACAACCGGTTATCGATGGTAGTTAGTGACAAGCAACATGGCGGCGTCCATGTAGGCTACGTTATTCGAGAGTTAATATTTGGATGGGCTGAATTCTTTCCTATATAAACAGGAACATTCATTTCTGTGTTACGGAAAATAATTAATGTTAATTTTGCAAAACTTCCCATTGTCTATGGCTTTGAAGCCATCTCTCTCTACTTTTGGCAGCTGTTCAAAAATCAAAATCTCACGAGTTTTTCCGTATGTTCCTGTAAAACCCTGACGAGGAGGTGGTGTGTGATCCTGTTCCGAGAACAGTGTTCTTGAGTCGTGTTCCCGCCATTCGAGCGCGAGAACAAGAAACCTGTGTCAAGAACAGGCCGCCCGAACTCGACCCAGGAGTCTGGAATATTGTAATAGTTAAAATAATAGACACGAATTAATGCTCAGTGTAAATCTAGCTGTCTATGTTTCTTAAGTGAGCCACGTGCGGAGTACAAACGCTGATTTTAAGGCAATCCTTAACCTTCCTTTGTGCCCTGTTGTCCCTATGACATATAACGCACAATATTCAACTCACTTAATAAAAGTCTCACGGGAGAGTGGAAATCGCGCAAACAAAATAAATCTTGACAGAATAAAAAAAGCTTCACCAAAATTAAACACCATTCGATTAATCAGTAAAGTGTGTTTGGAGTGAATTTCCCTAACAAGTTTTTTGCAACTCTTTAAGCTTCTGTTTATACACTTCGGCTTTAATAACGACCCGTGCTTTCCAAGCAACTGGGGGCGCTGTTGCTGTGATGTCATCCGAGTAAGACTTGTTTTAGTGCGTAGGTTTTTCTGTTCAAACTTTGAACCCCAGATATTACTCGTTGAATCAAACGATGATAAAATTAGGCCAGAGAAACCTTTAAAAATGCACTTTATGTGCACAAACCAAATAACTGTCAGTGCTAAAATCATTCCCGTGAATGCATGGTAGCGTCCTCTGTTGTTCACAGGCGTTTAGGCTGTCATGATGGGATGTCGACGCATGGCGTCATTCGTTTTTTCATGAGTTGAGTGGAATGGACCGTGGAGGAAAAAAGTTTTTTCAACTTCTGCATCTTCCTTCTTCAAGTTTTCCAAGTTTAATCTCATGAGGGGAATTGAAGGAAAGAATTTGGATGCCTCTGTAAGAACGTTGTAACTATGGAGGGCGAAAAGTGGCCATCTGCTTTTCTGCCATCAGAAACCAATACCATAAAGAAACCATTACTTAAAGCATGCTTTCTGCGGACCTGTGAAGCAGAGAAAACAGCATCTCAAAGGAAATACAGTTTTACAGCTATCATCCAATAGACACACTAGCTTGCTTACAAATGATAGGGTGGAGTGTAATTATTGGTCTATACGTCTTCAATCCCCAAGAAAGGAAATGGTCGTAACCTACCGGTTCGTGTCCCCATTCACAGCCCATTGAGGACAGAAAAGCAGATGGCTTCTTTTCGGCCACCTATGTAAAATCTGCTTCTCCGGTATCAAAAAAGCAGAAAAGTTGAATTCACGGTTGTCAACAAAACGTTCAGTCTACTTTCCTGCTTGTTTGACAGGTAAAAAGCAGATGGCCACTTTTCGGCCGCCATCGAAAAGACGAAAATTAAAACTACTTTTGTAGTAGCAGAAAAGTAGACAAGTGGAAAAATGCATTACGTGGTCATTCCGCTTTTGAGGTAGCAGAAAAGTAGAAAAATAAAAAATTGCAGATTACAAAGACGTAAAATCTGCTTTTCTACTATTCTGATAGCAGAAAAGCAGATGGCCATTTTTCGTCCTCCATATGTAACCTTCTGTTCAAGGACCTTTTATAAGCGTTTAGCTCGGTGTTTATCACATGTATGGAGTTTTGACAAGTTACATAGAAGTACAGTAGTGGGAAGAGACAGTAATTGAAACGTACACCAGCCTGAACTCTTGTCTTTATTTGAGTGAATAATATAGACTAATATAGCTCCAAAGAATTACTACGAGCGTTGGAAACTTCTTAACATATATGTAGGCCCAGTCCATTCACTTAATTACCAGACGTACGTGAAATAGTGAGAAGGTTGGCAATAGAGTGCGATAAGAAGGACCCATGAACAGATAAAAAGGCACGTCCAGTAACCTTGCGTTTTTCTTCCCAATGGGATGACATCAAGGTTTACAGTCTTTAAATTAGTTGCACACAACTTAAAAGTGGGAGGATGGCGGTCGGCAATAATACAAGGTCATTCCTATAGGAAGATAAGATGGAATCCAAGGTAATTAAAGAGTTGTTGAAAGGTTCTTTCCATTTGTGACCGTTGAGGGCGCAGTCGGTTTTATTCCTAGAGCGCCATTAAAAAAAAGACATTTTAGGCCCTGTGACGTGGACGGGGTGGTTTTTCTGGCTTAAAATATATTTGTATTCTGCTTCAGTCTTATCAGATCTGCCAAGATGAAGCCAATTTTATTTCCATTCTATGGGATAACTTTATAGCAATTGTCTTTCAGCCAAAGTTGAAGTTAAATCTGGAGAGAACCCCAGGAATTGAAAATGACAATTTAGTCAATATAAATTATATTCAATAATAACTTCATCAAGTTACTCCTACTTTAGACCTTTTATGGAAACAAACTTTGACCAGTAACTTTGAAATGTATCGCAGATACACTCACAAGAAGCATGAAATAAACCCCAGTAGCTGGTAATTGCAATTCTTGTACCTGTATGCATATTAAATTTGCAAGCCATCTTGTAAGGATAAATTTTACGTCCTTATGTTCATTAGATATTGCTGTTATGTTACCTGTCTGAGTTCAGTACTTTTGCCCTTCCTGGAGTAGAAAGAAACGAGTTCAGTTACTTACTTTAGTTGTAGTGAAATAAAACAGATATCACAAACCTATTCGTCAGCGCCTATCACACAATGTCAAGGTTTAATAATCACGTGATATAGGGCACTAGTTTTTCATCCTTGCATAAACGGACCAATTGGAGACATCGGGCCACGAAAACTCTTTGTTCCAGGAAAATGTGGTTAACGGGTCTTCCGTATCACGCGACGGTGAACCGTTTATTGTGCCATAAACCTCTCAGATCTTGAGCAGAGAAAACATTAACCCCCTTTTTTTCAATGTCCACGGCGTCGTGCCGCTGCGAATATGACCAGTAAACACGGTACCAGGAGACAATGGCTCGTGCAGTGTCTAGCAGTTTTCTGGACCGTAGTGGGTAAGTTGGACTTAATTATGATTGAAGGCCGATATTTGTTTTCAAAAGGAAAATTAGGCATGCCCTTAGTGTTTGAAATAAACCTTTTCAATGAAATTATCTGATTTTACAAAATGTGGTGATTTTCCCAAGTGTCAACTGTTACTTGCATTTCACAAATGTTTATGTCAAAATAGAAGCGCCAATAGATAGAAAGAAAAATTTCGGGTAAGATTTAGAAAACTTTCTTTCTGTCCTTCACAGGATATTTACATAAAAGGCAAACCATAAAAGACCTTCAAATGAACTAAGTTGCACGGAATGTGTTCGGTTAAAGCCGAACAAACTAACGTGGGCATTGTAACCCTGCCGAAAAAAACTCTGGTGTGGAATTTCACGCTGTCTTCTCAGTTCGGTGAAACACAACTAGCGGGAAATTCACACTTCTGTGACTATAAAAAGAAATCCAACTTCACAAAATGGATTGCTAACTGACTAAAGTCTTTCCTAAAGATTTTGTTTTTCAGTGTGCAGAGTTTCCAATTTCTGGAAAATAACCAGCTCAAAATTTGCCTCCGTAACTTCACGAACATCGATGAATTTGGAATAACCTACAGAGGTTTGTTCTTTAAAAAAATGCCATCAAGAAAAACATTTCAAATGTTCTGCTGAGAATAGCTCGGAAATGAAACCTCAGTGTACAATGACTTGGATTAGGAGTTTCATTCTCTGTATGAATAGATATTCTAACTCAGTATTGGAATCTTTTATTTCTAATTGTACAGTGTATAGACCAACCTTGGCCGTGTATTTGGTTGGCAGGCCTAGTTCCCAGACTTCCACTTTTAAAGAGTCCACACCGGCATACAAGGGAGTGGATGGGGTACCCACCTCCTGTGCCATTACTCGTAAGTAATGGGAATGTTTAAACCCTTTCATTGTTGAACACAGTTGCTGTTTAAGCCAGCAAGGTATTGGCAGCTATAGGCCTACAAGGATGTAAGTCGCGTGCGCGTTATTTCGTTCCAAAATTCTTCAGCGACTGTGGAGGAAAGTGTTAGCAATCTCAGACCGTGGTGCCCGTAGACCTTCCGCAGGACAACACTCGACCATGCATAAGAAAAGGTGAAACAAGGGTAAACAGATAGGTACTCCTGACACCATTTAATCAAGCAACCTCAGAGAGGCGGGTCTCCCGACTGAGCACTTTACAAATGTAGAAAATAATTAGCACGTTGTTGCACCCAAGGGGGAGGTTCGGGAGGCTAAGGCTTACAACAGCCTTTAATGTCTTGATTTGTTACTTTCTGAAAAACGAAGGTACGACATATACATTCTAACTCTCATAAAGCCGTACCTCCCAGGCCCCGATGGCGTCATGCGCTGCGAAGGGATTCCAGTTCGAGTCCTCCCCCCTCCCGACAAATCTTGGGTGCACCACTGACAGCATGCTAAACTTTGTCATTGTGTTATCAAGAGGGTGGGGCAAGGCCTGAGCCTATGATGTCACTATTCCCTCCAACTCCATCCTGACACTAGGACTATTCTTTAAGCGCTCTGTTTCCCTAGCTGCGCTAAATATTTTATAGAAGACAGATCTCACTACATCACATCACAACTGGATCAAACTTTAAAAAAAAAACAATCTACAACGGAGAAGTAAAACGGGAAAAGTACCTGGAAGTGTGTGATAGCACAGCCTGGCACAGATCAAGTCAGGTTTCACAGAAGCCTGAAGATCATGGTTATGAACCATCTATTATCGGAAACACAGCAGGATGTTATCGCTAAAGGGGACAAGGTAACAAAAATCAACCTCATCTTGGTCAAGGAAATAAACACGAATAACTTCTGCACACATCCCATACCAGAACGGACTGGAACATCATTAATAACTTTGTTAACTTAGGAAGAAGATTCACAATTTGGATTGAATGTGCTCAAAATCGAAGAATTCATTGCATTGTATTGATTTTGGGACGAAAGTGTGATGGTGCAACAAAAATGGTTATTCGTGGTCAGGAAGTAGAGATCGGACGGTCATGCGTGACAAGCAGAGATGAGACGTAATTAATTTTAAGGTATATTTCGTACATAGGACGTACTGAAACTTACGAAAATGGTTGGGTCACACAGTACCGTCGCAATAACTTATTCATGAACGGGATAACCTGATTCAGTTTTAGCTCAAAAGAAGCAGAAATACCACGGCATAGGGATCGGATATGCGTGCTTCTAGAAAGAGGACCGAAGGACAATGAAATCCAGCGTTGAAAAAAAAACTCCGGATGTTATTGGTGATTAGGCTACATGCAGTGAAGCTCACGGTGGGGTTTCCTGTATGTACAAGGTAAAGAAATTAAATCTGTCCGTTTCAGGAGTCAAATAACAAGAAAATGAAACGTAGAGGAAACTAGCAAAGTTCACCGAAAAGTGACAAGCGCAAATTATGCAAGAAAAAAGACAAAATACGAGATATCCCCGCTACGCAGCTAGCATTATGAATTTTCAGTATATCCGTGGTCAAAAGAAAGTTTCAACAAACACTTGTTCTGTGTATTCTCGCTATTCTATTCACGGCGCACTATGATCGACGAATCCCTTTTTCCCCGAGTCCAAATTCGACATTTAAACGGCTGCCTAGTGTGGGCTGTTGTTTAACGTCCATGGCCCACTCGTTCTAACTCCCTTGTGAACAGGAACAATATTCATGGGGGGTACTTAAGAGGTTAATTAACTCGGTGGGTTGTTGACGGTATATTTAGAAGAATTGATGCAATTTTTAAATAGAATCCTGCTCTGGGGTATACAAAGTAAGGGGGCTGAGTCTCTAGTTGGAGGTGCTCACTGACCTGCCCCCTCATTGGTCACATGCCCCTGCTGTGTCTCAAGCATACAATGACCTGTTTGTAGAGTAAGCATCGAAACTATTCTTGGAGCGTTTGCATTAACATTTTTTTGACAGGCGCTGCGGAGCATCCTTGGTGGCGCGTAGACATGCTGCAGGAATACTGTGTTGGGGCAATCACCGTGGTTAATCGGGCTGATTGTTGCGGTGAGTCAATTTCCTCTAGATTTAATGTTTGCTTTTCACTTCTAAATTAGAGGTTTGCACCTGACCCAATGAGACTTTTAAATGTTCCCTGTATCTTACAGTTTTCCAATAACACCATCATTTAAACTCCTGCCTTTCCAATGGAAGAGTATCTCTTTAGTACTCCAATCCTCAATGGAGTCAAATTGGTGCTATTTTACTTGTGACGAGGGTTAGAATTCCACATATTAGGCACACATTGATTAAAACTTTAGTCTCTAACTTGGAATTCATTAAAAGTTTTCAGCTTTTGTGAAATATATACTTGTATGAATTTTTGGTAATATCAACAGCGGAACGCCTCGTTGGAGCAACAGTCCGTGCCGGACTAAGCCCAACGATCAGTGAGAACACATTATGCGGTTCGCCGGTGTCTGCAGAGCAAGCTACCCCGGGCGCCTGGCTTCGCTTCACCTGTGACCCACCGGTACAGGCTCGGTACGTCAGCGTAGACATTGATCTCGAGGGAACAGGCAGAACGCAGTTCTTGACGGTATGCGAGGTCAAGGTGGAGGAATCTACTGCCTGGGATTGCCATGATTGGACAGGTAATAAAGTTTGTGGATTCGTGTAATGTTTGTGAAAATATATAAGAATGAACTAAGAACTATTCAGTGATGTGAGTGCTGCAAAGTACAAATTTCGTTTTCCTTGGTTTAGCTGAAGTCGTAAGAAACAACCAATTTCGCCTACCATGGTGACTCCGTCCTAACAAAAGGGTGCCTTAAAAACTTAATTCATATTATTATTGATTATTAATAACTATTTTCCTGTATGATTTTGTACATATTATTTTGTGCTAACGAATGTTTTGGTGTCAGTGATTCAGAATTTACAGTATACATGTACTTCAGAAGTTTTGGAGTTTTGAGACTCTTTTTTTCTATTTTTCAAACAAGCCAACTCCACGGGCTTCTTAGATGCCACTTGCGTCACCCCTACGCCACTGCTGGATCCAAGCGGCGACACCGGTGCTTTCATCGGTACTTACCTGGGTGTTCAAGACGCCACAGCTTCCGTGTCCTTCGGTCGCATTTCGCAGACCGGTCATACTGGAAATCCAGCCCTTCCCACGTCGGCACTTCAAGTCTCACATCCTTTGGACGCTACTGACGCCGAACTACTGTACCTTCCCCGTTCTGGCGGCCTTCTGAGAATCGGAGCCTTCTACTGCCTCGCAAGGAAGGATGAGACAACGACGAAAATCGCCATAATCATTCTTCACAAAAACGGTAGTATTCAGTCTGAAAGGACGCCATTACTGCGGTGGAATCACGTGCGCGCGTTCTTGAGCAGTGGTGCGTGTTCATTTTGACATCTCATGGGTCGAAGAGGCATTTAACGCTTGCGTGCTACCTACACACAAATCATTCTGGTTGCCAACTTATTCCGCAGCATTTGCGAATAAACTGAAGAGGGAGAGTTGTAACACCAAACCAGGCTAGTCCTGCCCACAATTGTATTTTAGTCTTTGGAAGAAAAGAGGACAGAGATTAAATTTGGCGCACTTTTGCAATAGAGTTATTCTGTGTTCGAAAGCAGCGGGTACAACTGAAAATAATACCTCTGCCATATTCACCTTGGGCAGTTGGTTGGGACAAATCCTTTACTATACAATCTTTGCAACTTCACTCATTTTAGAGAGGTGCCAGGATTAATGTATGTAAACATTACACAACATGACAGAAGAGGTATACTCATTTCTCTTGTTTCTAGAGAACATAGTTCATATCCGTCCTGTAGTTCTGACAAAGACAATCAATGTAATGGAATCTGCTACCCTGGAGATGAGAACCGTAAACCCACCTACCTCTGACATCCGATGGAGACACAATGGAGGACCTTTCATCGACCGTTCCCAGGGCAAACTCAATCACTACATTCCATCTGCCTGCCTAGGGGATTCTGGGATATATGAGTGCCACGTTAATACCTTCCGGCCCTTGCAACTCCACGGCATTATGAAACTCATTGTAAGAGGTGCGTCTGTAGCTTGATCGCCTTCTAGAAGGCTTAGAAGCTTAGAAGGAGTATTATTCGCTCTTGAGGCGGGAACCAGCCCGAATTATTATTAATGAAATAGAGTCGACAGCGTAGGGATTTTATTTGTACTTCTTAAAAAAAGGAACAGCAATAATGACTATCAGAATGAGCTATGCTAAAGGCGATAAGGAAAATACCAGAAAGTATTTGCAATCATAAACACATAAAGCCAAATATTGTATATACTTTTCCAAATTGTTCTGCAAAGGAACTGGGAAACAATACATTCCCTACATCAAAACCACGTACGACGTTCGTGTCGAAATCTGTACCTGTTTTGCCTGCACAAGTTATTGCCTTTCGACCGGGAAGAGAGGTGACCTGTTCTAATACAAATTGACCGTTTTTTCCGTTTGTTTTTATCAAGAATGTCCATCTGGAAGGTGGGGCCCGGATGTTTCCTGCAGCAAGCTGTGTCCACCCTGTTACAATGGAGGCATTTGCGACGCCATATCCGGAAGATGTGTCTGTGCTCCTGGTTTCATGGGCCGATATTGCGAGGAAGGTATAGTGTAACTAGAACAATAAGGCATCACTGCGGTGGCGCAACGCTCGTGGACAGGTGTTACGCGCGCGTTACATGCCTCTTCGACCAATAGGGCGTCGTGATTCGCCAAAGGTACGCGCGCGTCAAACTCAAGAATGTGCTTGTGAGCGAGGTGCCACCGCAGTGCGTCTAACCGGATAAGTCTATAAAATAGCTGCTTTCAATCAGGTCTAACCTATCCACCTCGAGCAGAAGCGCCCCTCATCGGTTGAAAAGAGCTGCATTGGTTGGGAATGTTCAATTTGTTGGTAGCGATGCGACCATGACCCATGCATCTCCCAGTCGTCCATGAACCAGCAAAGTTCAGTTCCGACCATCGGAGCCTGCGTTCCTTAGAAAATAGCGCCCTCTCTTGGTCCACCTCGAGGCCCTACCCGCTTTCTTTCCTGTCGTTTTGGGATAGTTCTCGGACGAGACGTCTTCGGCCAGGACGGCAGTCATTACTGCCATGGTTCGGACGATTCTCAAAGCAACGGCTGCCGGGGAAAACTGTTTTGTCTTCCTGACCCATACGGATGTTCATGCGCGGCAGGATTCAAGGGATTTGATTGCATGCAAGGTATTGATTCTAAAGCATTTACCCGCCAAATATATGATAAAAAATCCCATGAGGAGGATTTCAATTTAAACTTGTTCCATGGGATAAGCCCTAACATTACATCCACTGTAAACGTATGTATCAGATTTTATCAAGGGATAGGGCCTGCTAAAGACGATTTAAACGGATACTCATCAGGGAAAGATCAAGTTGACACACCTGCAAATATTGCATATCAGTATCAGCAAGTTCAAAGAAAACTCAAAGAAATATTTGATACTGTTCTTCAGAATAAATGGTTCTCTTTCTTTAGAATGCGAAGAAGGGACTTATGGCGCAGATTGTAAACAAACATGTCACTGCGCCCCCAGCGTTGTCTGCCGAAAGGACACAGGTGAATGCCAGGGAGGTAAGTCATACTGTGCATTTCAGGATAGTTAAGACTTTACCTAACCTTATCCTCGAAGATTCATGAAGCATCATGCCCGTACAGACTGGGGTTAACCGTGGAACCGTATTAGCGGTTCTTTATATTCTGACATGATTTAAGCAAGATTGGCCTATGGAGGCGTTTGGAACCTGTGCCTTTGAGAAGGATTCTGCTAGGATCGAAACGTCAGGCCCTCCATATTTTGTGATTTGTATTTTAGTTTACTGTAATCAGCAAGCAGTGTGCAGTAGTTTTTGTATTACATATGGTCTTGATTTATGAAAGTATGCATGCTGGATGCGCGCAGTTGGCTCACCGTGTTAGCAAAACAATACGAAGCACAGAGTTGGTCAGTGCAAGATATTTTATAATGAAGCGCTGCTGCTTGGTCTGTGATTGCGCAATCTAGGAAATGTATGTGTACCTAGCTACAGATTTCCTCTGCTGGAAGGTTGACCTTTGCGTTACAGTGCTGTTCAAAAATACTGTAACACCACACATACTCGTTAGTTTGATAAATGAAATATCCACCAATGATTCTCTTTACTTCCAGCTTGTGCCCCGTCATACTTCGGTGTCAACTGCCAACAAACAGGTACCGTAACATTATGTTGCACAAAAAAGCTGTTATACGGGGCCTTGAAATTTGGAAAAGCCGTTTTCATCAACTAATGAGCCTGATCGCATTTCCCCGATCCACAGAGGGCGCCTCGAATGAAATAGTCATGGATGCCGCCCTTGCCCATAATCTATATTTTCTCTTACAGCTTGTCCAGTCGGATTCTTTGGAACTGAATGTAACCAGGTTTGCCACTGCCAAAGTGCCACTTGTCACCGAGATTCTGGGGAATGTGACGGCCGTGAGTTTTCAAACACTTCACTAGAACGTTTCCTTAAGCATTGAAGATAAATTTTCATTGGAAAGATGTGAATGTCGACTTCAGCTATAAAATTACAGCAACAGAGAAATAAACACCGCCAAAGATCATGATCAAAACACTGTTTAATTTAATCATATAATGTTGGAATGATCGTCCCCAAAACGGTTTCATTATTGAACTGACGCGCATATTGAAAAACTAGACCGCAAGCAACGGGAAGCCAATCCCCAAATGCAGCTTTCAAGGCAACGAGAGGGATTCGAACCCTCGCCGGAGAGACAGGAGACAAAGATAACCTACTGTCCAATGCCAGGTGTATAGTTTTAAGAATGATCATATTTATCTGTCCCCCATTTGTAATTACCCACAGCATGTGCCGAATCGTACTTTGGAGTGAATTGCCAAGAGACTGGTAAGCCTTACTAAATACATGTTGTTCTTGAACTATGGCCATAACTACGAACTTTTACCGTGTCAAGGGAGAATAATAAACTGGTAACAGTGACTTATCAATTTTCTGCAGCTTATGATGGTGTACCCGATTTAGTGGCTTACCCAAGTGGCGCCAACCCAGGTCATCTGATTCTCTCCTGGGGAAAAGACAGTGCCGCGTTTTACACCATTGCGTATGAGTTAGTCAATCGAGGTCACTGTCAGCCAATTACGGACCCGGATCGCAAGTTTCACCCTGACCGCCTCGATCGAAACACCTCTCATTTCATCCTGACCAACCTCGAGCCCTCATCGGTGTATAAAGTCTACGTGCAGTCGCACTACGGCATCCACAGCATGTTGCCAGCTGAATCCTTTGTGGTAGTGTCAACATTCCAGGCAAATGGTTAGTATTGAATGAAAAAACGACTGCTAAGAAACCAAACGCAGTGGAATTATCCAAGGGCCTTGTGGGTGATCCACTAAACTTTGTTTAGATTGCTTGACATAGCAATTTACAGCCAGATACGTACAATATAAAGAATTCAAATAATGGGTGCAAAATTGAAATTCTGACTTTTTCACCACTCGTCAATTATTGATTTTCTCTCCAATCACCGACGTCCGGCATTTTCACCAGCTTCTGTAAGACACCATTCTTTGGACCAGAACCAAAACTAGAACTAGAATCACCATCAGCAGTGCTACCTAAATCTACCTCGTCCAAGACAGAACAGTTATTCAAATTTCCCCCTCTTATTACTTAGACTCACAGGTGGTCAAAGACTTTAGAGTGGTCGATGTTACCTCGAGCAGTTTTCTTCTTAGTTGGCGCCCAGTGCAGTGTGCGACGGGTTATCACGTGACCTCTGACCTTATACAAAGAGGGAACTGTTCAAGATCGGAATTCCCCCAAGAACGATCGGCCGTCATGACTCCAGACACCTCGGTAACCATAGCCTGCACGGAACCTTTCGCAACATACAATATCTCAATTCTTGCTACCGTTGGTGATGTAAATGGATCGACCTCTACTTTGCAAGTAATGAGTTCGCCAGCAGGTAATTCCATGAATTAAAACCCCCGTTACGTAAAAGGTAAACCATGCCTCATCTAGAAGGGAAGAATAAAAAATTGGCTTAAATCTTAGTCTTTCTGGCTACTGATTCATATTCATTATGCATGATATTTTTGGTTTCACAGTGTTCCTTGAAGGAGATGAACTGTTCATTAAAGCAAAACTGTTCGAGATTCAAAATCAGGTTTTTCTTCCAATAATCTAACCCCTCAGCACCAGGAACACCAGAAAGTCTGTCACTGGTCTCGTCTACTCCGAGTGCCCTTCACTTTGCTTGGAATGATCTTCCCTGCGAAGAGCAACATGGTCATTTCCATGGTTATTGTTTTGCTCTACGTGATACGTCTACTGGGGACACCGTGGCTTCGGACACGACATTGGTGGCAGAAGTAGGATTCTCTGGCCTCACGCCGTGTCGGCAGTATGACTTCAGGGTGGCGTCAACTGCATCTGGTTTACAAAGCCCTTATTCGCCCTGGCTCAATGTTCAGACGGCTGTCCAAGGTAAATGATCTAAAGATTGCCACTGATGGACCATTTTGATATTGTTTTGGTATAATTTCTTGTGTGCTTGGTGCATATGAAACACAGACATTGAACTTACTTTACTTTCAGAACCTGGTCCAGTGAACAACGCAACAGTTGGAGATTCATCTTCCACTGAAATTACAGTGTCCTGGCAACCTCCCCTCGTCAATTCCTGTGGTGTATCTGGATACAAGCTACGATATGTGCTGACTATACATGACATGTGTTCAAAGACCACCTTGCCAACAGTATCCATGGATACCGTATCGACAAATGTAAGGCTGACAGGTCTAATTCCCGCATCGCAGTATCAGGTGTTTGTGAAAGCGACAAATTCTGCCGGGGAAGGTCGAGAGACTTCAGTTTTGTGGACCACAGACGACTCGGGTATAACAAGGACATATTATGTATTGCTGGTATTTCAAACGTCAGAGGTTCCACACACCTTTGAAATGGTTGAGTGTATCAGATAAACCCTTTGTTCATTCTCAATGTCAAGCCGCAAATAATACAATACAAGCACTAACAGTGGGTCTAACACTTACCTTTAGTCGTGTATCCATGCAGTGGGGAGTGGACGGGAGGCGCCCCCAAGAAGTCCGTGCCAGCATTTTAGAAACCAGGGGCAATCAATAAGGGATAAAAAACCGGGTCGTTTGTAGGATTAAAAAATCCCACTTTGTGTCATATCCAGGCTCTGGTTAACTTGTCATCTCTCAATTGCGTTCCACTGGCTCTACCTACACTAATCACTGCAGATTCCTTCGTTGACCTTAATATACAACATTTCTCCTAATTTCAGTACCAACCGACCCGCCTCAAGATATCATGGTTTTTCTAATCTCCGGAAACAACAGCATCGGTTTCTCCTGGAGTCAGCCCTCTTGCGGAGGAAGGGGTGGAGCCATCATGCAATACTCCTACCGGCTGACCCATATGATCGATGGTCTTCCTCTCACTGACTCGACCGGTGACACAGCGAGGGAATGGGTGGTCATCTCTGGGTTGGTGCCCTTTAGACAGTACAGTTTCCAGGTCGCTGCTCGCACCACTGTCGGGATTGGACCCTACAGTCAGATCGTTCAAGCAACTATAAAACGAGGTATGAAGTAGTTATGAAAGATTCAACCAAGCTTATAGAGTAATTGGCTTACCCGAAATATAGATTAATCTGATTACTCCAAAACTGTAGTGGCACCGCACTCGTCCTGTGTGCCAACGCATGTGCGCGTCAAGCTTGAGAATGCTTTTGTGTTAGATTTAGATTTGAATCTGTTGGGAAAACTGTTTTTAAATCAATTTGTTATTCATGTATTCATCACAGGCCAGGACGCAAATTTACTGCCAACGGTAACCGGTTTTTCATCATCAGCAGCAGAGAACAGAATGGTCACCCCATCGAGCAAGTTGTCAGACGAGGTGCATGTTACACCCAAGCTATCAGCCAAGTCAGTGGGTTCAGGCTCTGGCATCACGGCTACAGTTACTGCCGTAGTATTGACGGGCCTTGTGCTGATTGTCGTCTTCGTTGTGGTATTTATTAAGCTCAGGCGAAGCAGGGGACGCCTCCAGTTGTGGCGTCACGGCAGACTGACCAATTGTGAGAATGACAACGCAGAAGTAAGTACGGCGTCCTGCGCTTCGTAACGCGCACGTGTGTATACATCTGATATATGCATTACTAAATATGGGTATCTGCATTACTAATAAGGTAGCACCTCAACCGATTGGCTCGAATGGTGTTAATACGTGAATTGATGGGAAATGGGCGCAGTCATTAGCCATACAGTGGCCTTTATGGGCGCACGTAGGCCGGGACGTATGATCAAGGAGCCCTTCTTGCTATACCTTAGATGGTGGCCTCACACATTAATAAAATAAATTCACAAAACAGTCTTCATTATGTGATGTATGTGTTACAAAACTGAAAAGGCCCACGGTGATTACAATTAACCCAAATGCTATCTAGTAACGCAAAGAGTGAATGTCAGCTCATTTTGGCCTCAAAGCAAACGCGATTTTGTAACCCAAGGTTGAACAATCGAATTATTGCATTTTGCAAGAGTTGAGCGTAAAAATCGGCGAATTTTGTTGCCTGTGTTTCGAGATATTATATTCCCTAGGCATTCGTGGGTCTTGTCTACTTTTATTTATTATGCTTACTGGTTTTATTTTTTCTCGATTGACAACAGATTGAGACAGAGATGAAGTCCAGGATGAAATAGACACCAGGCAATCAACTTGCTGAAAGATCAAGCCTCTACTACAAAGTAAAAAATGGAAAGTTAAATAAGAAATGTCTTCATAGCGCTGTACATGTACAGGCCTATCATCGAAACCTGCAGGTGCGCTTACTTTCATTTTTCTACACGAAGTGAGAAATACACAAAAGAGAATAACCGTAAATACTTAGTACTAAAGCCTAGATTGTTCATGTTTTATCACTGCTTATAACTTTTGTATCACTTTGCTGTTTGTAAAGTTGTTCCATGGAAAATTGCTTGCGGACCTCAACAGAACTTAAGCTTTGCGTAGAACAGTTCAAAGAGTATTAAATTTAACACTGCATGTTTGTCAACTTCGTCTCTTTATGCTCATGACGATGTATCGTGTATATCCACACGATGCGGTGTGGGACTTTGCAGCCAGTTCATCACAGGAACCAAAAGAAATTTCTCAATTTATGGCTCATGGGTTTCGTAGTGAACTTTTTTATGCTAGTTATTGCCTTAAAACCGGAGTAAGCAGTTGGATGCTTTTAGTAATTGCTTTCCCTATGGAATTGTTGTGTAAAAGTTAAGCCTTGTGATGAAACTGAAAGTAACTACTTTTTGCTGTTTGTAAGACCTTAAAGTCTCTTCGAAATGACAAGTCACTTCCTTGCCATGTATTAATGCACAATAGATTTTTGAGTGCTGGACGTTTGAAGTTATGCCTACATTTATTAATTACAATAACAGCAAATAGAATTACAAAAATAAAGCTTAACGACTTGTAACACACAAGAAAAAAATATATATCCAGCTCTCTCAATGATGCAAGAACCGACACTTTAATTTCTTGGAATTTGAAATAAAATTGTCTTAATTTTTACCCATATAAGCCGTCAAGTATAAACTATCAAAATTATTCTGGTAAACTGGGGTAAAAATCTTCTAATTTAGGGAAAAAGAGAAGAAATGAAATGCTGCCAACTTGCATCCAGTTCTTATACAGGCTTCTCTTTTAGTTATTTTCAATGTCAGGTTTTTGATGAGGTGATCTCAGCAAGGTAGAGATATCACCTCAGCTTCTACCCGACATACTAACTTCTTTAATCAGCCCATCATGGTGTCTGTAGTCCGCGTTGAACCTCAGACATGGAAAGGCAAACTTACACTTCGATTTGAGTTAATTCAAAGCCCAATGAATTGATTTTTCCCAGTGTATGCTTTATAAAGCATACACCCTGCATGGTTTGAAAATTGATCCATTTCGAATGGAGAGCAGTCGTCTAGCTGAAATCCAATTTCAAATGTTAACTAGAACAGTGAAGATGACATGACTTGCTGCTACTTTTATATAATTATGCAGATGAATTCATTTAAACATACTTAAAAACTTTCTTTATTCGTTGCCACACACGCATTAACCTATGTTCTGATCAGTTTGTAATCTTTCCAATGTTTAGTTACGTGAAATATTTCAAATTTATGTTCAAATTCAAAGTATCTCTTGAGCATGCAAGTACAATTGTAGAAAGTATGCGCGATCCGAGTAGTCAACCACCATCGCCAGCCAGCCCCATCAATCCCAACACATCTCCACCTACACAACAATTTTTAATTCAACTTCACTTTAAATGTCACCTCACCTAATCCACAACCTGGCACACCCAATAATTTCTCACTCACCCTACCTCACCCCACCTAATCTCCACATTGCACACCCAATTATTACCCACTCACCCCACCCGTCCCCCACCCCACGCCATTAAATCTCCACATGGCACACCCAACAATTACCCACTCACCCCAGCCCATCTAATCTCCACGATGCACACCCAATTATTACCCATTCACCCCACCCCACGCTATCCAATCTCCACATTGTACACCCAATTAATATCCACTTCCCCCTTACCCACCACCATCAATCCCCACATCACAACCACCTAATACGTACCCAATCCCAACAACTGCAACCCTACCAAACCAAATCCCTATCCCACAACTAACAACACACCTTTAGGACCCTTCTTGGCTTTCAGATGGCCAATAGGTCAATGAATGACGTCTGTCCATTGTTTCATTATTACTGCCAACGGTGCTGCTTGGCGCTGCATGGCTGAAATTAAGGGGAAAAATCATTTAACCAGGCAGGGAGATTTAAATTGCATAGCGCCCTCCAGAGGAACACTTTGTTACAGGTGCACCAAAATTGTCGTCGTCGGAATATTTTGAGTACCGGTAACTATACATTAATGAATAAACCATGTTCGTGTTTCCGTTACACTGTATTTGATCGACGACACATTGACAAAATTGGCTGGATTTCATGTGTAAAAAGTAAACATTTTGGGTGTTTGGGGAAAGTGAGACGAAGATGAGAACTACAACAAAGCTCCATAACACATTTTGCTTTTGGGACAATTACAATACAGTTTGTTGGGGTTCGATCGGAAATCCTATTGCACACGTTATGGCTGCTATCATTTATTGATATGTCACAACTAACTACACTCGGAAAATAAACAAATATCTCAAAGGATATTTCTGTATTTGTGAATACTTTCATTTCTTGATTACTATATCATTTGTGCAGCAGATAATCCAAAATCAGAAATAG